AGAAGCCTAAGAAGGCTGCTCTTAGCTTGACTTGTCCTAAGGTCATTCCAAATACCAGATTACAGTCATCAAGAGGAACTGACCAATGGAAGGGGCCAGAATTTTGGAACTTGTACTTATGTTTATGCTTGCAAAACATGCAGTAAGGTCTGAATAGTCATTGTCTCAGCGGAGGATGCGAAGCTGTGATGGCGTTTTGCCGTGAGGGCCGGGTTGAGGCGCCCACTTGGCCGGGCGCTCCCCCAGCCCAGTCTGCGCACAAGGGCAGGAAGGGGTGGCTCTCTCTTCCGGCGTCCAGAAGATGAATCTTCCCAGCAAGCATAGCACCGTGCAGTTTCTAAGGCCGAAGGGGAAACCTGGGCAGAAAAATACAGGCAGCTCTCCGTTACATGCTCTGTGATTGCACTTTCCGTCCCAGGCGGGTTTTCTTTTGCTGTTTAGGACAGTGGTGGCGCAAGCACCGGCCAGCCACTCGCTCTGTGCCAGCACCTGATCTCGCTCATTCTTGGTCTGTTCTTCCTCCCTGCTGCACTATGACATGGATGGCATAGCCCCACTTTACCGGTGAGGAAACTGAGTTACAGAGAGAGGAAACCTCCTGCTGCAGTCACTAATCTAGTTAGAGACAGACTCAGGTTTTGAACTTGGTGTCATGTCCCATTGGGGTTTCCCATGTGGCTCAGTGGTAAAGAATCTGCCTGCTAATGCAGGAGACTTGGGTTTGATACCTGAGTCAGGAAAAATCCCCTCGAGGAGGAAATGGCAACCCACTCCAGTATTCCTGCCTGGGAAAGCTCACGGACAGAGGAGCCTGGTGGGCTACAGTCCTTGGTGTCACAAAGAGTTGGACACGACTGAGCACATCATATTCCATTATTGGGAACTAAGTAACTTGATGCAAAAATATTTTGAAAAGGACAACGTATGAAAGGCAAGAGTTGTCACTTTTGGGCCAGATCACCTTCCAAGAGTGGTTCAAGTCAGTATCGATACTTAAGGGTCAGTTACGTTCAAAGGCACTGCGGTGATTATGGTATACAGGGCCAGGTACAGAGTAGGCTATCTATAAAGACTGGGTTTTTTAGTTTAGTTTATTGAAATATAGTTGATTTACAATGTTGTGTTACTTTCTGCTGCATAGAAAGGTGATTCAGTTATACATATATGTATGTTCTTTTTCCTATTCTCTTCCATTATGATTTATCACAGGATATTGAATATAGTTCCCTGTGCTCTACACTAGGACCTTGATGTTTATCCGTTCTATAGGTAATAGTCTGCATCTGCTGATCCCAAGCTCCCAATGCATCCCTCCCCCTCCCCTTTTCCGCTTGGTAACCACAAGTCTGTTTCTGTGTCTCTGAGTCCGTTTCTGTTTCGTAGACAAGGTCATTTGTGTCACAGTTTAGATTCTGCATATAAGTGGTATCATATGGTACTTGTCTTTCTCCATAAAGAGCAGTGGATGAAGGTGTGTGTCGTCTCTGCACTTGAGAAGATGTAGCAGGTCATGGAGTTGTGTGCTGCAAATATACCCCCAGTGACACGAGTGATGAGTGTCAGCCAGAGGAATTCGCAGCATGTTGGTGACAGAAGTCTCAGTGAAGATGACCTTTGAAAGGGAAATGTGATGCTAACAGACGGACATTGGAGGAAAAGGTGGGAATTGCAGGCAAAGGGAGCTGTGTCGGGGAAGCCCTTGGATGAAAGGTTTGGAGGTGAGCAAATCGTCTGGTTTGTGGTGTGTAGGGCTTCCTTGATAGCTCAGTTGGTAAAGAATCTATGCACTCCATTATTCCTGGGCTTCCCTTATGGTTCAGCTGGTAAAGAATCTGTCTGCAATGCGGGAGACCTGGGTTCAATCCCTGGGTTGGGAAGATCCCCTGGAGAAGGGAAAGGCTACCCACTCCAGTATTCTGGCCTGGAGAATTCCATGGACTGTACAGTCTGTGGGGTCACAAAGAGTAGGACACAACTGAGTGACTTTCACTTTGTGGTGTGTAGGTCACCTGGAGATCGGGCTGAAGGTAGTGCATTGACCACTGTGAAATCACTCTTGGCTGCATCTTCTATAGGAAGAGAGTGGAGACTCTGGAGCAGGGAGTAACTGCTTCAGAGTGGCACCTGGGCGCTGCGTTCAGCCATGGTGTGAGGGTGATGGATTCAGAAACGGTAGCCAAGACATCCTCTAGAAAATAATGCTAGCGTTCCGGGAAATTAATGAACGTGATGACAGTGGGAATGGAGAGGAAGTGGAATCCAGATCAGTTGGTATGTTCCCAGAAATACTTACCATGTTCACTCTTAACTGAGACCAAGCATTTGGCGGTGTGTGTGTGTGTGTGTGTGTGTGTGTGTGTGTAAATTCACTACCGAAGTCATGCAGTACACGTTTAACAAAACCAAATCAGCTCTATCCGGGATCCGACCCCATGTCATCTTCACTCATAGCAAATGCTGCTCTGTCTTCAACTGATAGATTTATCTGGTTAGCTTAGACCTCTATTCTACTTAAACAAAATTAGGCGACATGTAAAACAAGTGATTTTCTTTGTTCTACCAAGGTTACTTATATTCCTTGCTGAAAATATTTTTAACTGATTTGGAATCAATTTTCTTTGCTCTTTAAATTGTTTTTTAAATGTTTAATTGTGAAATATTACAGAGAAAAATTTAAAATATACTTGTTTAATGGAAACAAGCCAAGCGTTTATGGCAGGATAAATGGATAAAGAAAATGTGATATATACATACAGTAGATGATTATTTTCAGCCTTTTTTTATGTGGAGCATTTTTTTTTTAAGTCTTTATTGAATTCGTTACAATATTGCTTCTGTTTGATATTTTGGCTTTGTTTGGATCTTAGTTCCCTGACTGGGATCGAATTCACATTGGAAAGTGAAGTCTTAACCACTGGACTGCCAGGAAAGTCTCTCAACCTTAAATAAAGAAGGAAATCCTGACATAGATGACAACATGAATAAACCTGGAGGACATTATGCTAAGTTAAATAAGCCAGTCACAAAAGGACAAATACTGGATGATTCCACTTACATGAGGTATATAAAGTAATCATACTCATAGAAAAAACAAATAGAATGGTGGTTACCAGGAGCTGGCGGGAGGCAGAATGGGGAATTATTGTTTACTGGGGACAGGGTTTTAGTTTTGCTAGATGAACAATTTCTAGAGACAGGCACTTCACAACAATGTGCGATAGTTAATAATCTTAGATTTAATTCTCTTCTTTCTTTTATTATTATTTGCTATGACATCTGTTTTAACCCAATACCATCTTTGTAACCCCCATTTTCAAGTATTTGGAAAAAATAAGATAGATTTTAATGCAGTCTCAACTTTTAGTCTGCTTTTACCCCTTGGAGATAAAGTGTAATTCGTAGAGACAGCATACAGTTAAACATTAAAAAAAAAAAAAAATCAGTAACCCTTCACAACTTTGCAGATAAATTTAATCCATTTGCATTTATAGTACATCTGAAGCAACACTTCCAGTTATTTTGGGCATGTGCTTGTATTTAACAAATTTGTAGTTTTTTAAAGATCATCTTGCATTATTTTAATGTCAATTTATCTTCTTCAGCACGGTTTTTGATTTTCTCTTTCCACTTGCCTTGTTTTTGAAATAAACTTTAAGCCGTGTCCCTTTAAAGCAAACCAGAAGACAATCTCAGAAAAGTGATGTTTGTCTTGGGTTCACTGTGGTCCACACGGTGAGTGTCAGGTCTGTGGAAGCCAGCCGAGTCTGGTCGGTACCGATCTAGTGGAAACAGCCCTACATCACAGGTCACACAGGTCATCACAGGCTTCCTGTTTTCGTGTGGGTGCAAGTTCCCTTGTGTGAGCAAACTTTCAGAGAGTAGAAGTTATTTCAGCAGCAGCTCCCTGACCAGGTGCTGGATCAAACAATTTTAGACAGAAAGGCGGTGGTTCCATCCTGGTGAAGGAAACTGCCAGAAAAGACTTGGGAGCTGGTCAGACTGGGGTCCACAGCCTAGCTGTGTGCAAGCAGATGTCTGGAGTAGAGGCTCAAGAAAAAGTTTCATCAAATAGACTGGTCACCCAGCTTGGGGGCCACAGGTAAACTTTAGTCTAAATTCACACCCGGAACCCCAATCCCAGGGAGGGAACCCAGGGTGCCTCTCCTGGCACCTACTGCATCTTGAATCTCGACCTTGAATCAAGTCCCCACTTGCTGACTATGAGATGGGGAATCAATTACCTAATCTTCTTTTCCTCCATTGCGAATGGAGATAAATGTAGTACACACCTGATATGGCTCTTTCATAGTTGAAAAGTAAAGGACTAAATTTAATGCAAGTAAAAGAGACTGATTCCACAGGGAAGTTCACGAATCCTAGTTATCATTGTTATTAGGATTCCTGACCGTGAGCAGGAAGGGATTCCAGGCTGGGCTGTCCCTGGTTCTGGGACTAGGGGGAGCTGATTCTCCACTGACCTGAGGCTGACCGGAAGCGATGGGAACAGACTCTGTTCTCTTCATCAAAGATGTTCCCGAAGCTTCCTTCCCGAAGGGCGTGCCGCCCACACCGCTTCTCACCCAGTTTTTTCCTGAAATAGGTTCTCGGTTATCAAAGGGAGAGGGGAAAAAGCACTGCTCATAATGCTTTGCTCAGAAACTCTGGGGTTTCTTCTCCTTTTCCTAAATTCCTCCTGCTTTCATTTAAACCAAAGGATGTTTCCAGAAACTTCTTAACTTTAGATTTTTCCCATCTGACTCAATTTCTCGGGAAAGTGCCTCACCTGGTCTTTCAAAGAGGAAGACACTGACCTTTAGATCTCTTTGATTTTAAGATGAACAGAAATCAGCAGAAGGGGAAAGAAAAAATTACCGCACGTCCATCTGACCCTGACGTACTCTCACAGCCCAGGGACTGCCTCTGGCTTGGCTGTTTGAATAACCTCTGGGCATCTGATCCACCCCCAGAGCTTAAGTTTGAACTCCAGAACAAATATTTGTCCTGTTTGGAGCAAAGTTTGAGAGCGCTCTTCTCTTCTCTTCTTTTTAAAGCCCAACCGTACTGCTCTGCCATCCCTCTGGTCGTGGTTCAGGGGACACTGGGCTCCTCCCCGGACCCCCCGCCTGAGAGCTGGGCAGAGGCACCCGGCATGATGAAGGGGCTCACGTGCTTTTTCCTCTGCTTCTTCCTTTGTGAATCGAGAGGCTTTGAAATCCCCACCAATGGACTTTCAGAAGTAAGTACTTCCAGAAGACTCCTTGCTGTAGGCCCCCTGTGTGTTTGGTAAATAGAGTGTTGTGTTAGTCGCTCAGTCATGTCCGACTCTCAGCGACCCCATGGACCGTGGCCCACCAGCCTCCTCTGTCCTTGGGGTTCTCCAGGCAAGAATCCTGGAGTGGGTAGCCATTCCCTTCTCCAGGGGATTTTCCCGACCCGGGGATTGAACCCGGGTCTCCTGCATTGCGGGTGAATTCTTTACCATCTGAGCTACCAGGGAAGCCTGTTACCTGTTGCTGTTCAAGGACTGTATCCTGTGAGGGTTGAAAATCTATTATAAAGTTCATTGAGTAGAAGTGTTCACTGTTAGAATTACTTGGATGTGTATTTACCCTTTAAAGCATTAATGGGCTTTTCATGAGAATTGAGTTCATGGGCTGGCCCCATAGTGTAGCATTTATGGAATACAGCTGCCCCTCCTTATCTCAAAAACTGGGGATGTTAATTGGTCTGATCTAAAGGATGGTTATAAGGTTTAAGTGACATTTGTAAACTACCCAGCACAGTGCGAACCTGAGCAAGAACTTGATAATTATTAGCTCTCATAACTATTATGGAATACCATTATCACTCTTTTACATAAGAGTATAAGAAAAGTCATTTTCAAAGCACTCTGGTTGAGGGACTTCCCTGACTCACTGGAAAAGACCCTGATGCTGGGAAAGATTGAAGGCAAAAGGAGAAAGGGGCAGCAGAAGATGAGATGGTTGAATGGCACCACTGACTCAATGGACATAAATTTGAGCAAACTCTGGGAGATAGTGAAAGACAGAGAAGCCTGGCATGCTGCAGTCCATGTGGTCACAGAGTCGGACATGACTTAGTGAGTGAACAACAAACAGCTGATGATCCAGTGGCTAAGATTCCGAGCTCCCAATGCATGGGCCCTGGGTTCAATCCCTGGTCAGGGAACTAGATCTTTCATGCTGCAACTAAGACCCAGAACAGCCAAAAAATTAAAAAGGACAGTTGTTTGTCATACCGAAGTGAACAATGATTTCCAAGTTAAGGGCATTTAATGTTCCTGTTAAAGGGGAAGATGGATGAGGCAGCGGGCAGAGTATAGGAGTTATTCCCAAGGAGCTCAAGGTCTTCCCTTCAGACCCTTGATCATCCTCAGCGTGATGAAAGTCTTGGACTGAAAGTCGTAGAAGAGCTATTCTGATACTAGAAAAGCCACATGTATTCTGGGAATATCCTGGAAGATGCAGCGGCTTGTGATACTTACGGGGTGGATTATGTACACAATTGCCAAAGAACAAGATGGCATGTTTGCAAGAAAAAAAAAAATCACTCTGCCTGCCTAGAAATTATCATATTTTCCAACACTTTAGAAACCACCAGAGTGTGTTGGAAGCCTCACTGATGGAGCCAGGAATTGGAGGCAAGATTTCCAAAGGTGCTTGTGCTTTTTCAGTCCCTTACTGGTATCAACATTTCTAACATCTTATTAGACACTTCTGATGCTGCTAAGATCTACGCAACACTTCCCCCAGGTACCTCCCTGTCATTGGTCACTGTCATCTTCAGGCAAAGTGAAAAACAAATTCCCACATCCACCAAGTTTGGAGATATTAACTCCTAGTTACTCACCTCCAAGATATAACCAGCAAACAAATAGATGAAAGAAATCATTGCAACAGTCAGAGACAACTTTGGCTACCAAAGGGAAAAGAGAAGAGGGATAAATTAGGGGTTTGGGATTAACAGATACACAGTACTATGTATAAAATACACAACAAAGACCTACTGTATATGGGAACTATATTCAATATATTGTAATATTCAACCTATAATGGAAAAGAATCTGAAAAAGAGTAGATATATGTGTGTGTATATAACTGAATCACTTTGCTGCACACCTGAAACATTGTAAATCAGCTATTAATTTTTTTAAAAAAGACATTATATGAAAAAATGAGATTCCACAGAAATATAGAAAACAAGACAAAATAAAATACTAAATACTTTTTGCCTGTCACCAGCGGCCTTTTTTTCATTGATGGAAATAACTTCCTGATTTGTTTTAAGTTTGCAGACTATGGAGACCTTGTGGAGTTGGCTCCAGGCAAATTCCAGTTTGTGCCAGAGAATCGGAGGTATCAGGTACAGTAAACCTCAGTTCCAAAAGGGAAAAGAAGTGAAAGAGATCACGAATGAAAAAATAAGAAAAAGATTGAGATGCTTTTTGCTACATTTTCTCAACAGCTTGTTTTTCTTAGCAGCAAAGAGTCAAGTAGTAGTATACTCAGGAGAAACACAGTTCAGCTGAAATGGAGGGAAACCTCCACATGATTGTCCATCTCCAAATACAGTGGTCATGTTGTTCGCTTAAACAATACGTGGCTGCGTGTTGTCTTCAAAGCTTAAGCTTATGGGATGGTTTTACTGTCATATATGGAAGAATTTCCTCCTAGGAGGACATTTTTGGTGGCTTCCTCGTGGGGCCACACATGCTCCCCCACTGGTCACGCCACTACTGTCTTGGGGAGCCGCTCAGAGAACACAGGGAACCTAGCCACGCTGGAGGCCGTCTCCAGTTGTTAAGATTTCACCTTCCAGTGCAGGGCGTGTGGGTTCAATCCCTGGTCCGGGAGCTAAGACCCCACATGCCTTGTGGCCAAAAAACCTAAATACAATACAGAGGAATATTATAACAAATTCAATAAAGGCTTTAAAAGTGGTCCATATCAAAAAGATTTAAGAGAAAAAAAGAAACCCCATAGATAGATCCTCATGTCAGGGTCTTCATCTAGAAGACAAAACTTAAAGAGCTGTTGAGAATTGCATTCAAAGATCTGAAAAAGACCCACAGACAGAAAACAAACTCATAGTTACCAAAGAGAAAAGGGGGAGAGGGATAAGTTAGGAGGTTGGGATTAACAGATACACACCACTGTATATAAAATATATAACCAGCAATTCCCTGGATGTCTACTGGTTAGGACACTCTTCTTCCACTGCAGGGGGCACGGGTTCAATCCCTTGTTGGGGAACTAAGATCCTGAAAGCCATGCAGCATGGCCAAAAATAGATAAAATAGATAACCAACAAGAACTTATATAGCACAGAGAAATATGCTCAGTGTTTTGTAATAACCTATAATGGAAAATAATCTGACAAAAAAAATAGATAATGTAGAAATAAGTGAATCACTTTGCTGTACATCTGAAACTAACACAACACTGTAAATCAACCATGCTTCCATTAAAAAAAAAAGTCCAAAAGAAGGCAACTGTTGGCCTTATTATGTCATATAACACCCCCTAAAATTTCAGCTCATTCCAAAGCAGGCAAGCTAAGCTGTACTAACCCACATCTAAGTTATTACTTTTAAATCCATCTGACATTAAATGCTCACCCATCACTCTAAAGCCAGCTCACTTTCCATGCCACAGGACAGTCATTCATGTGGATAAATCTCTAAGCATGGCAGTTAGAATACAGAATTTTCCATCTGCCAATTACCATGTTTAACTCAGGGGCTACGCCAAGGAGAAGATGCACGCGTTTCAGCTCCCGTGTGGCTGCGTCTAATGGAAGAGACAGACATGCTTTCCCACTGTCTGGGTTTGAAGGAAGGAGTTCTGCTGCTATGAAAAGACTCAGACAAACAGATGTTTTTGTTTGAATTAATGAGGTGGTTTTTACAGGATAAAGGTGATCTGTGCTACTCAGCATGAGCTCAATTGGATATTTTCATTTAAAGACATTGGTTTTAACATTGTAGCAGAGAATGATGGGCATGCCACCAAAAGACAGCTGAGACACTTACTCACAGGAGCACACCAAGGAGAAACTAGAATTCAAGAATATTTGATAGTTATGTCTTGGTTCCAGTGAATGAATCAGAGCTCAGTATGGAAGGAGAAAATATTTCTTGACTGAGAGAAAACAGTTTTTGCCCTCAAGGTAATAAGCAACACGCTTCTGAAGAATGATTTTATCCACTTCCTTTCACAGAGAAGTATTTCTGGACAATCTGGAGAAAGGATGGTAAGTGTACTTTGATTTTGTTAAAAATTGATGTCTGAATGACTTTTCTGTTACCTATTATCGAGAAATCAATACGGCTGCCTCCTTTATCTTCGCACCAAGAGCATTTACCTGACTTTCGAAATACCTGTTTGCCCAATTCTGTTTGGGAAGTGTGTCTAAAATTTGGCATGAGAGGGTGGAGTGTGTAAGCAACCAGGAGATATGTCCCCAGGAGCTGAAAATGTTCCTTTTCTTTACTTTGGCAAGTTTTGCCAACAGCACAGGTTTGTTTTGGGGTTTTTTTTTTTTTAATAAAAACTATATATTGATTCCAACATAATGGTCTTGATTTAAAATAGGACACCTAACAGCTTTAGTGAGTGTGGAAAATGCACTCTTGAACATGAAATGGCCCAGTTCCCTGAGCGGTTTGGTGTACTGTAAGTCCCCTACACACAAACAAGTCCCATTCCAATAGTGAGTTTGTACGTCCAACAAAGTTAACCTAAGTACACAACCAACACAATCAGCTATATGTGGCTATACTGTAATAGGTTTAGAATACTTTTCACGCAAATAATACATTAAAAAAACTGACACACAAAATTAAGAACATTTTTAATCGGACAGTACGGTACCTTGAGAAGTACAATAGTACGGTACAACGGCTGGCATGTAGGGACTGGCATGGCATGAACAGGACAGAGGGGTTACTGATGGAGGAGGGAGAGGAAGTGGGAGATGGTCCGGCGGAGGGCAAGCTGCAGTTTCACTCATGTCTGATATTGATGGCACACGTTCCGGTTCCTTGCTGGAACCAGATGCTCGTTCGTATCTTTGAAGGTTTGCAGCTGCACCTTGAAGGTCCGTATGTATGTGGGGGACTTACTGTAGTTCCTCTTGTGGCAGGAAGACATCAAAAGGAAAGTTGTTTCGTTGGCTTTGTGGTCTGAACAGTCAGCAGCTGTGAGAAGCTCTGGGTTAAGGGGGAGGAAGGACAAACAGCTGAGCCTGGGTTTTATCTTAGCTTGAAATGAGCTGGATGTTAACAAGATTTCATCTTGGATGACGAAGTTTGGGGAAAATGACATCTAGTATTGAAATCAGTAAAACGCTTCACTGCCACAATCCTGGCAGTTTAGAGCCACCTCCTAAAAGATGCATGTTTTCAGTGCTTTGTCTTTGAGCATATGGATACTGGAACTGCCTTAAATCAGTAGAGAAGGGTTGGGATCCGGGTCCAGAGTGCTGGACCAGTCACCGCGTCAAAATGCCCTCTGCAAGATGTTCTGTTCTTTACTCACATCCATCAGCATTCTCATGGGTGCGTGCTAAGTCGCTTCAGTCGTGTCCAACTCTTTGCAACCCCATGGACTGTAGCCCGTCAGGCTCCTCTGTTCACAGGATTCTCCAGGCAAGAGTACTGGAGTGGGTAGCCATTCTCTTCTCCAGGAGATCTTCCCAACCCAGATCGAACCTGGGTCTCCCGCATTACAGGCAGGTTCTTCACCATCTGAGCCACCAGGGAAGCCTCGCACTCCTGTTCAACCTATATATCACGGTTTGTTTTAATTTGGGAAACAACAGGACGACTGGGAAAAGGTGAAATTGCAGTAGATGAGGTTCAAGAAGGTAGGTAGCAGTGTGCAGCTTAGGGGACCACCTGTGTGTTCCGCCCCACTGTACCCCTGGAAATGCCTGGGTCCCCCTTCTACACTGCACACCGGCATCCTTTCCTGCCCTCTGGCCCTGTATTCAGAGTTATTTCCTGCACTTTCATAATCCAATCTTGTTTCCCCACAACCATTTCCTCCTCATATTCTAACTTGCAGAATCATTGTTAATAGGCTCACAGCGCTGGAGAGGCATCTCAAGATTTCTTAAAATAAGAGCAAGCTTCTGCCTGCAGGATATCCCAAGAATTTAGGAGAATGCTTAGTAAAAGCTGAGTTATATACTTAATGACGCCTTAGAATTTTTTGCACTGTTATCACCAAATATGCAGTGAAGTTCTATCATTTTTCTCCAAGTACAATTGTCTTTTCTTGCCGATTTCAGGAAGATGTTGATCAAGTGACTCTTTATAGTTATAAAGTCCAGTCTACTATTACTTCTCGAGTGGCCAACACTGTTATCCAGACCAAAGTGGAGAACCACTCTCCACAGCCTCAAAATGTCGTGTTTGATGTGCAGATTCCCAAAGGAGCCTTCATCTCCAACTTCTCCATGTGAGTAACTCCTACTCAGAACCAGAAACTGGATATGCTCTGCTCACAGAATCAAACCCCTCCCAGAGTGGACCTTTAGTGCCTCAATGCCTCGTGGCTCCATACCCAGCATCTCTGTTGTTGTTTAATTGCTAAGTTTTATCTCTCTGCTACGCTATGGACTGTAGCCCACCAGGCTCCTTTGTCCATGGGATTTCCCAGGCAAGAATACTGGAGCAGGTTGCCATTTCCTCCTCCAGGGGATCTTCCTGAACTAAGGACTGAACCCGAGTTTCCTGCATTGGCAAGCGAATTCTTTACCACGTAAATCACCAGGGAAGCCCAGAGAGGACCCTGGTGGTCAGCAATTCCAGGGGTTCTCGCTTTCAGAGCTGTGGACCCACTGGACATTGAGTCATCTTGGGTGGGACCCAATAATTTGCTTCTGTTCAGAGTAACAGAATTTGCAAAGGATTTGCTTTTCTTTTCTAATGAGTGAAAGCATCCTTGAGCCTGTCTCTATGGCAGTAATCTCCCACTTCCTTAGGGAGAGGCCATATGTTCTATTTTGCTTCAAAAACTAATCAGACTGCTCTGACTAATCATTGTTGGGACAGATTAGGTGACAGCAAGCGAAGAGTAAGGTAGTAGAGACAGAAATGACAAGAGAGGACAGAGGTCCCCCGGGGAGATGTTAGAAAGAGAAACACAAACTTGGCATGGGTCGATCAGCACTTTTCTCCGTCTTTCTTGGCTCTTTTCCACCCTCAAAGGATCCTTAATACATGGAAGAATGGTCTTACAAACCATGTCAGCCAGAGAGCTAGTGGTTTATCAATCACAGCCCCAGGCGCATTTGTCATTCCAAAGGGCTGCACCGAACAACTGTTAATCCAAAGAGTAAACCTGGAAAATGAAGAAACATTTTTAAAAATTTTGCCTTGGCGTATAGTTGACCTACAATGTTGTGTTAGTTTCAGGTGTATAGCAAAGTGATCCAGTTATACAGCGACATATGTCCATTCTTTTGCAGATCCTCCCCATGCAGGTTATTAAAGAATATTGAGTAGAGTTCCCTGTGCTATACAGTAGGTCATTGTTGCTTATTTTATATATAGTGGTGTGTGTGTGTGTTAATCCCAAACTCCTAATTTATCACTTCCCCTTCACATTTCCCCTTTGGTTAACCATATGTTAGTTTTCGAAGTCCGTTTCTGTTTTGTAAATAAGTTCATTTGTATCAATTTGGGGGGGATTCTGCATATTATGTGATGTTTGTCTTTCTCTGACTTAACTTCACTTAGTTTGGTAATTCCTGAGTCCATCCATATCGCTGCAAATGGCATTGTTTCATTCTTTTTTATGGCTGAGTAATATTCCAGTGTGTATATGCACCACATCTTCTTTAGCCATTCCTCTGTGGGTGGACACTTAGGTTGCTTCTGTGTCTTGGCTGTTATGAATAGTGCTGCTGTGAACACTGGGGAAGAAGCATCTTAAACACAAGTAACAATATGGGAGAGAAAGCTTCTAGTACAGGAGCCTACCCCATCTATTTTAAATCACACTGCCAGATAAAGGAACTCCTTTTATGAAACATGCAAATGTCTCTCTACCTGAAGGTTCTTTCCAGGTGCAAAATGATAAATAATTCATTACATCCACCAGGTTGGACTGTTGGCTTGTTCGTTCGTTGTGCTTTCATTCAGACCATCTGTGGCCCCTGTGTCATTTTTTAGGACTGTGGATGGCACGACTTTTACTAGTTCTATTAAGGAGAAAACCGTGGGCCGAGCCCTCTATGCTCAGGCGAGAGCGAAAGGCAAGACGGCAGGACTGGTGAGGTAAGGGCAGGGTCCCCATCCATTGCTGCCTGTGCTCAAGCCGGCTCCCTCCATGGCAGGCCATCCCCAGGAAGGCAGAGATGCTCATCCTTCTCTGTTAGGTCACTTCTTTGTGGTACTTCCCTGATCCCACACGATCCGATTACCCACAATCTCACCTTGCTTGTTTACCATTTAAATTTTTAAAAAATCACTGACTGTTTCTCCTAAGGCTCAAATCACCCTCATTTGACAGCCCTGCTGTTTCTCTTTAAAACCATAAACACTTCAAGTTGAGTGATCACATTGGACTTGGTGCGTACCGGAATAAATAAGGCATTAGTGCTGGAAATACATATTCAATTTGAAAAAATAGATGTCTTCTTTATGAAGACTTTTAAAAATGTGAAGAATCCCATAGGTCACTTCTTTGTGGTACTTCCCTGATCCCACACGATCCGATTACCCACAATCTCACCTTGCTTGTTTACCATTTAAATTTTTAAAAAATCACTGACTGTTTCTCCTAAGGCTCAAATCACCCTCATTTGACAGCCCTGCTGTTTCTCTTTAAAACCATAAACACCTCAAGTTGAGTGATCACATTGGACTTGGTGCGTACCGGAATAAATAAGGCATTAGTGCTGGAAATACATATTCAATTTGAAAAAATAGATGTCTTCTTTATGAAGACTTTTAAAAATGTGAAGAATCCCCAGAATGAGTCTTACCAGCGGTAGGGGAAAGTGTGCTGTCCTTCGGATCATCTAAACTGGGATTGAGTTCTGACCGTACAGCTGACTCGCATGTGATCTCAAGTGGGTTCCTTACCCTTTATGAACCTCATTTGTCATCACTTGCTAAATGAAGGTCTTGGTGTCCAGTTAACACACAATGACATGTGTCAAGTTCCTGGCATGTAATAGAGGATCAATAACCAGTAGCTCTTTGCAGATGACACTCAGATCTGTAAGAAGCTCTGCAGGAAAAAAGATCAGGTAGGAGAGGGGAGGGGAATTCCAGGCTACTGGAAGGAAATTGATCTAGAAGTTGCTGTTATCTCTACTGGACCTACCGTTCATTCTCCTAAGCAATGAGCAGGTGGCTAGCCCAGGGCATCCTGGACACCCTCTGCGTAGATTCTACATGTGCTGACTTAAACGTGGGGGGGCTCACATCTTTAGGAGCAGAGCTCTCGACATGGAGGACTTCAAGACTGAAGTAAGCATCGCCCCCGGAGCAAAGGTGCAGTTTGAACTTCATTACCAGGAAGTAAAGTGGAGGAAGCTGGGGTCCTACGAGCACAGACTCCACCTGCAGCCAGGACGACTGGCCAAGCACCTGGAGGTGAGCTCTGCCCCCTAGAGCTGGGTCACCATCTGTGCTTTCTGTTCATCTTCTCTTCGTGGTGTTCCACGCCACTTGACACTGCAGGACAGGGTGGTGTATGGAAACTGACTCTGGGTTTGAAGTAAGGAAGTGCCGCTTCCTTACACGTTTCAAGGCTTGCTCATCTCCTTATCTGCTGTGTCAACTTCCTGTGGCTACTGTAGCAGATGATTGCACACAGGGACCTTATGACAACAGAGATGTCTTCTTCCACAGTTCCGGGGCGGGGACTGCAGTCAAGGTGTTGGCTGGGCTCCTGGGGAGGGTCTGTCCCTTGCTGCTTCTGTGGTTTGGAAGCTGCTGGCATTCCTTGGCTTGTGGCCTCGTGGCCCGTCATTCTGACCTGTGCCTCCCTGGTCACATCGCCTTCCCCTCTGAGTGTCTCAAATCTCCCCCTGCTCCTATAAGAACATTTGTCATTGGATTTCGGGCCCACCGGATGGTTCAGGATGATCACATCTCAAGATCCTTTACTGTGTCCGCAAAGATCCTTTTCCCAAATCAGGTAGCAGTCCCAGCTTCCAAAGATTTAATGCAGACATGCCTCTGTCAGGGGTTGGGGGTGGGGGACCATTCAACCCTCTACACTGACCTTCCAACTAATGCCGATCCTCAATTTTCTCATCTGTGAAAAGCGTCCCATTACATTTCTTAGATTCCTTGGTTCCAAGTGCGATGAGCTTTTGGAAATAGGTGGCCAGTAATAGGAGGTCAGCGAAGGTTGAGTTCACTGTCTTTGTCTGCTCCACAGTCCCCCCATTGCACCCCAAATCTCATCACCTGGAGAGCAGTGCCTGTGCAGGGCAGCTTGAACTCACTTCTGCTGTAGTCTTCACCTCTTGCCTTGAGAACTAAGCTGCTCTTTTCTTGGCTCGAAACTTGTTAACATCATGTGAACGTTTGTGTAAGAGGCAAAGGAGGACCGGCTGGAAGAAACCCAGGGAAGAACACAATTCAACTGGTCTCTGTTTGACACAGACGAGGGTGAAGCAGACAGGTTGTAAATTGTCCATAGATGAAGAAGATTCAAGGGGATGAATGGATCATGTAAAATTTTCTTATAAATAAGAATGAAATGGCATGGGATGGAGTAGAAGAAGGAGAATTAAATTCCAGAGAAATAGAGCAATAGGAAGGGAGCACTGACTCGCCCAGAGGGTCTTTAAGCCTCCCTAGTGAGATGCATCATATCACACAGCATTTAAAGAACTTGCAGAAGGGATGGTGGAGCCATGACAGGTCATCTTTGGGAGATCCTGGAGATGAAAAGAGCAGAGGACTTGGAATTGATAATCATACTTCTTGCTCAAAGTCTTGAAAGATGTTTTAATGCTTTAAGTAACTTTTCCACTTCTAGGTAGATGTGTGGATTATTGAACCTCAAGGACTAAGATCTCTTCATGTTCTGGACACATTTGATGGGCATTTTGATGGCGTTCCCATTGTATCTAAAGGACACCAGAAGGTACCACAAGCAGTGATGTGACGAAGTCTGAGTGGCCACTGGTTCACGGGTTTTCCTCTCCTCGGCTCTAGGGGATGGAAAAGTTGTCAGGTGCTGAGCTCAAGGAACAGTGATCCCTGAGCAAAGTCTAGGGCCCCCCACAGGACATACAGAACAAAACCAGTTGTTTCATTGCATTGTGACCATTTTGAAGCCCATTTCCCCCAAGTCACCCACTGGACCGGTAGCTAAAAGACGGTTTTCACATAATATATAGAGAATTTTCCTTTATCACTGCAAGACATACTCAGCTTAATTCTCTTTGCCTTAATGGCCAATAGTAACCACCTTTGGAGGGTCAAAGTCCTCTAAGAATCTTTTGCCAACTCTTTCTAGAGCTGGTGGCCATTTCTTCCATGGGTGGGGGTGAGGGGGAGGGAGGAATTCTTCGAATCTCTTATAAAGGACTGAAGCCTGGCCCACAGCACTGAAGGCTGCTAGATGCCCCTCTGATAGGACCACTGATGTTGCTTGGGTGCAGGGTGGCCCTGGACCTTCACCTGTGTGCGTGGGAAGGTGTCCCCCTGGACAGGGAGTGGGCAGAGACTGGGCTCTGACACCATTGCTCTTTCCAGGCACACGTTGCCTTCAAGCCCACGGTCGCACAACAGAGAAAATGCCTCAACTGCTCAGAGACGATGGTCGATGGTGACCTGGTGGTGATGTATGATGTGAACAGAGAGGAGAAGGTTGGGGAACTTCAGGTGGGTGCAAACAACTCTCAGGGGCCAGCCCTCCCTGAGCCAAAGGTCTGTTTCTTGTTGAATAAACCCCCAGGGAAATGCCCTGGGAGGTAAACTGCGGAGATGCTGGGCCCTTTCGGAAAAGGACGGAGCAGGCACCGGAAGAAAGGAGAGATGGACGTAGCCAAGCCTCTGTTCTTTACGGCCGTCCTGCCTCCTGCTCCCCATGGTCTCCGCTCCCCTCTCAGTCCCCAGACCCCCCATCCTCCTACATGCCAAACACTGGTAATGGTTCGGCTCACACGTATGTCCTGTTTTTCAGGTATTTAATGGATATTTTGTCCACTTCTTTGCTCCTGAGAACATGGACCCAATTCCCAAAAACATCCTGTTTGTCATCGACGTTAGTGGCTCAATGTGGGGGATTAAAATGAAACAAGTGAGTAGCCCTGGGTTGCAGTGGTACCCAGGACACCCTGCCTTCTCTGATCTCCTCATGATGGTGCAGTTGTTTGAGGCCCCTTGCCCCTAGAGCTAGTCTTAGTTCAGTCTGCTCACAAAGTAACACAGGCTGGGTGACCTATAAACAGGAGAAATTTATCTCAAAACCCGCCTTTTTGAAAAATTTCGCTGCCATATAACCTCTTCTCACTCTGCTTAGGCTTCTGCTTCATATTCCTTTGGTTCTCCTGCATGACGTTTTAGACTAATATCTTGCCATTGTGCATGAATAACTTTGAAAACGTTTAATGCACAGTTTTTCTAATTATGTTGTAATTCCTTGAGGGTGATCATTCCGTCTCATGCCTTCCAGTTTGGAGTTCCACATAGGCTCCTTCAGTGTTAATGGTGTAGGTGCAATTGTGATCAAGGACATCCTTTATTTTCCTCATCAATCCACCCATTCAACCAGTTTGAACCAACCAATGACTCTCCATTCATTTAACAATCATTTGTGACCACCCAAGTGTTCACTACTGTTCTAGGATCCTAAAGACGGAAAAGACTTGGCCCTGCCGACCTATCACCAGGTTCTCAGCAGTGGCACTTGTGACATTCGGGGCTGATAAATTCTGTGTCGGGGGACCACACTGAAGATTGTAGGATATTTAGCAACATCTATTCACTAGATGCCATGGAACTCACCCTCCTGGTCATGACAATCAAAGGTGTCTACAGAGGGCTTCCCTGGTGGTCCAGTGGCTAAGAATGGCTAAGAATTGGCCCTACAGTGCAGGAGACGTGGGTTCGATCCCTGATCTGGGAAGATCCCACATGCTGCGAGGCAGCTAACCTGCAAACTGCAACTAGAGAAAGCCTGCGCACAGCAACAAAGACACAGCACAGCCAAATATAAATAAATAAAATTCAAAATAAAGAAAAGGATGAGAAAGACACTTACAAAAGTGTCTTCAGACATTGTCACTTGTCCCCTGGGGAGAAAATTATCCTCATTTGAGAACCACTGCCCTAATGCAACAGTTTATTTGTTCCTTCCTTCCCTCATTTAACAAGTATTTATTAAGCACTTGTCTTGCGTCAGGCACTTAGCTCATCACTGAAGTTTGAGATGACTGTTACACGCACAGTGGACATGACACATCAAGCAGGCTATTGGCTCTGCAAGTCTGGTGTTCAGAAGTGAGGAATTGAGTGAGATATGCACTTAGGAGCCACCAGTGTGTAGAAGGTACTCATAACAATGAGACCAGGTGAGAACACCAAGGGGGAAGTATAGATAAGAGAAGAAAACAAAGAGTGAGCCTTACACTATCCCAGTAACTAGGATAATTTGGGGAGAAGAGGAGGAATCAGCAAAGAAGACTAAGCCAGCAACTCTCCTTGTGGCCCAGGGGCTAAGACTCCGTGGTCCCAGTGCAGGTGACTGGGGTTCAATCCCTGGTCAGGGAACTATATCCTGCATGCTGCAACTAACGATCCCACGTGCTGCAGTGAAGACCTAAGATTCCACGTGCTGCAGCTGATACTCAGTGCAGCCGAAATAATATATACATTGAAGAAGAAAAAGCAACCAATGAGAAGAGGAGAAAACCAAGAGCGTCTGAGGTTCTGGAAGAAGATGAGGAAGTTGTATGAGGACAGCAATGTGACTGGTTGGTCCAAATGCTTCTCAGATTGGGTCTGATGAGATGAGAAGAGTCCATTGGATTTAGCAACAGTCTTGAAGAGCACAGTTTCAGTGGAGGGATGATGGTGAAAACCTGAACAGAGTGGGCTTCAGAGAGAACAGGAAAAGAAGATTTGGAGACAGTTTGCTTACTATTTTTTCAAGGAATTTTATTGCAAAGGGAAACTGAGAAATGGGGGAAATGGGTACATTCAAGGTTTCTAAAGGCATGAGAAATGACGGCGTTATTGTATGTATGGAGATGTACCAATAGAGTGAAATGTATGATGCAGGAGAGGCAGAAGACAGACGCCAGAGCCATGCCTTTCAGTAGGTGAGAGAGAGCCCAACCTAGCTCACCAGCGGATGGATCTGCATTAGGCAGAAATGCTTCTCCTAGTTCTTCTGCATTACCAGGCATCAGGGAAAAGTGTATGGGCACAGATCCTGGCAGGGGGTGAGGTTTATGGTGACAGGGGTTGTAGAAATCTGATGACTTCCATTTCTCAGTGAAGTAGGATTCCAGGTCATCAGCTGAGATAGGAAGAGGGAGGTGTTGGTGGTCTGAAGAGGAAGCAGATGAGAAGCAGGAATTAATGCATGAGAAGGCTGAGTAGAGGGACTTGAGAAATACATTTGATTTTCAGACACCACAAAGGGGACATCTGAGGCTCAGGATTCTCAGTATAAAGTCAGGTGGGTGAGACTGGTCATGCATGACAAAACAAGACAGTAAAACTTTCAGTATACATGTTCGGATGGACTAGGAGACTGTTAGATCTGTGTTGACAGAGGCGGATTTATGAGGTTCGTGGGAGAACCATAGCTCGAACCAGTGCTTAAAATGATGAATGATTGGGCTTCCTCATTTCTTCTTAGGTTTAGAGAGTATGTACTAAGACCGTTCTCCATTCTCTCTCGAAATAGACGGTGGAAGCAATGAAGACCATTTTGGATGACCTGAGAACTGAAGACCATTTCTCCGTGGTTGATTTCAACCACAATGTTCGAACCTGGAGAAACGATTTAGTCTCAGCTACTAAAACACAGGTTGCAGATGCCAAGAATTACATTGAGAAAATCCAGCCCAGTGGAGGTGAGTGGGTTTAGCCTAAAGCCCAGTGAGAAACTCCCACAGGATTCAGTGGAGTCCTGAGAAATATGAGAATCAGTTGAGAAATATGATTCCTTACCCCAGTGGCCTTTGCCTTAATATACATTTATTATTAAACAATGCATACTAAGTGCGTGGTGAAAGCATAATGCATACCCCATCCCCCACACATTTTTAACCATTCTGTCCTCAGAAAACGGTGTCAGTAAGTGACACTAGCTTTCTTATGACTCACACAGTAAGAGAAAGACAAATACCATGTGATATCACTAAAATATGACATAAGTGAACTTATCTAAGAAATGGACTCAGACATACAGAAGAGACTTGTGATTGCCAAGGGGAAGCGGAGTGGGGCAGGGATGGATTGAGAGTTTGGCATTAACAGATGCAAACTGTTATTTATAGAATGGATAAACAACAAGGCCTACTACTGTATAGCACAGGGAACTATCTTCAATATCCTGTGATAAGCCATAATGGAAAAGAACACAAAAAAGAATGTGTATTATATGTGTATATATATATATATATATAAAACTTAATTATTTTGCTGTACAGCAGAAACTAACACAACATTGTATGTCCGCTAAACTTCAATTTTAAAAGGGGGGAAAACACATAGAATAACACATAATTGTCTACAGAACAGTATCCAAACATGTCAAGTGCTGAATAGGTAACTTCACGTTGGTGGTTAACAAAATGACTGGTGCTTTGAAAGGGTTATTTTATCTCTAAAGGAACTGTTCATTATTAATACAAAGTGAATATTTTACTCCCCTGGGGGATCTGGACCAGTCTGGGCAAAATTTGGAAAGCAGTTGAATGATTTGGATACTGAATGAACTACATGTAAGTCATCACCAGACAGATGAACCTGGGCTCAAGGCAAAAGGTGGTTGTTTCTGTGGAAACTCAGAGTATATAACAGACCAGCACATTCTCTGGCTTTCCCAGGCACAAATATCAACGAAGCCCTGCTGCGGGCCATCTTTATTTTGAATGAAGCCAATAACTTGGGAATGTTGGACCCCAACTCTGTCTCGCTGATCATCTTGGTGTCTGATGGGGATCCAACAGTAGGTAAGTACCCTTTCCATTTTAGTGGTGCGTATTTTTCCTGCTGTTCCTTGGGAACGTGATTGGCTTAAAATGGGAACTCGAACGGCATTTGCCTGAGTGTCTAAACCCGCTTGGGCTTCCCAAATGGCATAGTGGTATAGAATCCGCCTGTCAATTCAGGAGATGCAAGAGACACAGGTTCAGTGTCTGGGTCGGGAAGATCCCCTGGACCAGGAAATGGCAAACCCACTCTAGTCTTCTTGCCTGGGAAATGCCATGGACAGAGGAGGCTGGCGGGCTACAGGCCGGGGGTTTGCAAAGAGTCGGACGCAACATAGCAACTGAGCATACAGACAGCACTAAACCAGTTTAAACCCATGCTTCCTAAAAGAAGAGTTCGTTTGACCCTGAAACACTCACCCCACTTCAAACAGCCTCTAGATGTTTGGGAGGGGACGCTGAATGCCTAAGCTTCACCTCCACAATCTGGGAAAACTTGCATTTGAATTTGAGTCTATGCTAAGAGGATTGCTGATAGATACATACTAGTGCAGTGTCTTATCTCCTCAATGTAGCTACGTCGAAGCATAAGTGCATTTTTAATTTGGACGAATTTTGCCAAACTGCCTTCCATGGATGTTCCCAAAATTTTGTGCCATTGCCTCCTCATTCCTTTCCTTCCTGTCCACATCAACTTTAGGTGAACTGAAACTGTCAAAAATCCAGAAGAATGTGAAGCAGAACATACAAGACAACATCTCCTTGTTCAGTTTGGGGATAGGATTTGATGTGGACTATGACTTTTTGAAGAGACTCTCCAATGACAACCGTGGGATCGCACAAAGGATTTACGGAAACCAGGACACTTCTGTCCAACTCAAGGTGACTTTGTTTTCTGTTCCTTTTTTGGTCATTGTTCACTCGAAATCATTCAGCTGGCAATATCTGATGCCTAAAAGAAGATGGCTGAATTCAAGCAAAAATTGTCATTATTTCAGCTGTGTTAGCTCCTTTCTCGTGCACCCCACCCCCACTTGTATATCTGCTGTAACAGTGAGATGAGAGGCAGTCGATGGTACAAAGGTCCCTAGTCCCTGAACACGTCTTGGGAAGCACCATCAAAGTTTCTTGAATCTCTCCAGTCCCGCTACTTGTCAAGAGAGCTGTTCTTCCTTGAAAGTACATTGGCATTGGGACTTCCCTGGTACTCCAGGGGTTAAGACTGTGCTTTCAATGAAAGGGGTGCAAGTTCAATCCCTAGTTGGGCAACTAACCTACATGCCAAGAAACTTTTTTTAAAAAAAGAAGAAGTATATTAGCATTTTGGAAATCAGCGTTTTATAATGTAACACAAAGCCAACTATTGCGTTTGTTTCCTTAAATATAAAGGATATGTATGCATCACTTGTTTATTTTGACTAAATGGACCAAAAAAAGATTAAGGAGAAAAAGAATGTATTTTACCCTACCCTCTGTTGGTACCAAGTACCATGTATCAATAGGAGGTACTGTATATAAACCCGGGGACAGGTAAGAGACAGGTTCTAATTTAGGGATATCCACCCAGATGACTTATGTTATTATGAGTGTCCATGAGCTTTTCATGCTCATCATAACAGAAAGAAAAAGTGCTGGGCTCTTGAACCCAGAGTAATCTTCACAAGCCCTGGTCATCTCTATTTCAGATCATGTAATAACTATGAGAATTTTCCATAACTTTCCACAGAGATCTTGGAAGAATACTAAGCACTTGAAGAATCTCAGAGAAAAATGCTTCAGATTTGTAATGTGGTGTGAAAATAATGATTTCTCTGTTTCTTTTTTTTTTTTAATGAATTGTAGAAATTCTACAACCAGGTCTCAACTCCCTTGCTCCGGAATGTTCAGTTTAACTATCCCCAAACGTCAGTCACAGACGTCACTCAGAACAGTTTCCATAACTATTTTGGAGGCTCAGAGATCGTGGTGGCTGGAAAAGTGGACCCTGAGAAATTGGGGCAGTTACAGAGCATTATCACGGCAACTTCGGTACTTTTGCTTATCTGCTAATTCTAAAAATATTAATTATCTCCTGGGTACATCTTGTATATTAACAGGCTGATAGCAGAATTCCAAGAATCACTTAGTAGAATAAAAGCAAAAAGTGAAAAGGAAGTTCCCGAGAACACCTGTGCCATCTTCCCAACTATGGTGTAAATCCTTACCTCTTTCTTCTGAAACCCAAGCCCAGAGCCCAGAGGTTGGCACTTACTTCCTCTTGTGTGTTCTTTTGGATCATTTTGCATCCCCCTGCAAGTTGCCTACTACCCTGACTCACTCACAGTAGGTCCTTTAGAAAATGTGAACTGCTTAACTACAGTTCCACTCCCCTGGTGTCCTTCCACCGTCTAGGCCAACGCAGAGTTAGTCTTGGAAACCCTGGCTGAGATGGATGGCTTGGAGGATTTTCTATCCAAGGACAAGCATGCAGATCCTGATTTCACCAGGAAATTGTGGGCCTATCTGACCATCAACCAACTTCTAGCTGAACGGTAAGAAGACCATATGCCACAGGGATTTGCAAAAGGTTAGCCGAGATTACTTGACATCATAGACAAAAAAGAGTTTGGAACCAAGAAAGGCAGCAAATTATTTCAGGGTTTGGAGTATTCATTTCCACTGGTTTCAAGCACTTTTGGGGCTTCCCGGATGGTACTAGTTGTAAAGAACTCACGTGCAAATGCAGGAGACATAAGAGACGTGGGTTTGATCTCTGGGTTGGCAACCCACTCTAGTATTTTTGCCTGGAGAATCCCACGGACAGAGGAGCCTGGCAGGCTACAGTCCATAGAGTCACAAAGAATCGGACACAACTGAAGTAACCTGGCATGTATGCATGCAAGCACTCTTAACTAAAGCAGGGTTCACTATCTTTTTTCTTGATGGATAACAAGCATACAGTAAAGCGTGTGATGTGCATTGATTTTAAATGTACAGTTTAATGAATTTTAACTACGTCACCCATGTCATCAGTACTGGATCCAGTTTCAGAGCACTTCTTTCATCTCTGAGTCTCCTTCATTCTTCTTCACACTCAACACCTACCTCTCGCCTTGAGTAGAAATCACTCTTCTGACATCTGTCACTATTAGTTGTCTATGACAAAATTTCTTACAGTGATACAAACTGTATTCTTTTGTTTCTTGCTTCTTGCACTCCATATGATGTCTGTGAGGTTCAACCATCTCATTGCAGTGGGTATCATGAATTCATTTGCATTCACTCCTGAAAACAGTTAATGTCCAAAGAGAAATTTAAGGTTATTGCAATTCTGATATCACCTAAGGACTTCCTATAGATACTGTTTCATCTCTGGCTTCTCAGCTGACTGGTGTTTAAATGCTCCAACACAAAAACGATGTTTCTAGAGCAATGTCTGTTTCTTTGACCACCATCAGGATTATGGGGTGGGGTTGGGGTCAGTCTTTGGTGAGGAAAGTGACTGCTCCTTAGCCCCTCCACCTATTTGATCAGATTCTTGCAAAGGGGGAGCAGACTGGTCTGAATGAATTTAGGAAAAATGAAGTATAGATGTATAACTATACTCAAAAAATCCATGATGTCAATAAGATTATAAAACAGACACAAGATTGTAAGCTGTGGCTTTAGAGTGAGTGAGCAATGTCTCCTCCCCTTTAGAAAGGCAACTGGGTAATTTAAAGGGATATAGCAAATTGGTGCTGAAGTTAAACATTGATTTTTTTTAAAAAAACAATCCCTTAAACAAATCAGTGGTTGCCAGCTCGTGGGGAGCAGGAAGGATGCGCGGGGGGTGGGGGTTAGGACCGTGAAACTACTCTGCTTGACACTGTAATGATGGATACCTGTTGTTAGGCATTGGTCCAGACCCACAGAATGTACAGCACAAGCATGACCCCTAATGTCAGCTGTGGACTTTGGGTGATGAGGACATGTAGATGTAGATGTATCGATTTGACACATGTACCCGCTTCTAATGGGAGATGCTGAGACGGGGGAGGCTATCGCGTGGGGGAGGGGCAGGGAGTAGCTATAAAATCTCTACGTTCTGCTCAGTTTCACTGTGAGTATGAAACTGCTCTGAAAAATAGTCTGGATGTGTGGTCACCAAGGGGGATTGAGTCGGGTGGGGACGGAGGAGGAGTTTGGGAGGTGGGGGCTAGCAAATGTAACCTGTTCCATATAGAATGGATAAACAACAAGGCCCTACTGTCTGGCACAGAGAACTATATTCAGTATCCTATAATAAACCATCTTGGAAAAGAATACTTTAAAAAAGAATATAAATGTATATATATGTGTGTATATATGTATGTGTAACTGAATCACTTTCCTGTACAGCAGAAATTAACACAACATTGTAAAGCAATTATACTCCAGTTAAAAAGTACATTAAAAAAGAGTAAAAATGACTAATTTCCAGAAAACTCAAAAAAAAAAAATGACTCTCCTAAGGACAAGTATTGTTAATAAAAAAAATACATATATTTTTGTTGTTATTGCTAATTTAATGAGGAACATTTGTAAAAATAAATTTGAGATCTATCAAAAAAAAGAAAATAACAATGTAAATCAACTGTACTTCACTAAAAAGAAAATAATAATCATAATCTGTTTAAAAAGTTCCAAGATGGAGGCTCAAAAGGGAGGGGATATATATATATATATAAATATCATTATGACTGATTCTCATTGCTATATGCAATAACAAACACAGCATAGTAAAACAATTTTTCACCAATTAAAAAATAAAAGAAGAAATTTTAAAAATTCCTAAAAAAAAAAATTCCTTAAGGGTACATAACTAGGTAAAACACTAAGCTTCACGAAGCCAGCTCGTTCTGCTTTCCTTCGTGGCCCCCAGAGTCCTGGTTGACCCCAGAAGTGGCGGAATTCGATCTTGTGATGCTGTCCAATGTTTCTGTTTCCCGAACATAGGAGCCTGGCTCCTACAGCTGCTGTGAAAAGGAAAATTACAAAGACGATCCTGCAGATGTCTCTGGATCACCACATAGTGACCCCCCTCACGGCGATGGTGATTGAGAATGAGGCCGGGGATGAACGCATGCTAGCAGACTCCCCTCCGCAGGACCATTCCTGCTGTTCAGGTGAATCTCCCTACCTGGAGAAGAAGTATTCCGGTCGGTTTTCTTATCCTGCAGCAAGATCCTCCATCCCCTCCTCTCTTCATCGCTAGCCCGCCTCCTCGTCCCAATCCAGTGTCCTTCAACTGGGTGTCCTCCACCCAATCCAGGTGACCTTCCTGCCAGCTGACTTCGGCAACAGTTTATCGCTGCCATCTTTGAACATGTTTGCTCACTTGTCTTCCAAAGAAATTCTGAAAATCTGTGTACTCCCTTCACACATTATTTAAATCAACATTAAAAAATTCTCACCTTCTTTAAATAGTTACAACAAATTTCATTCATGATGACACATGGAGCTGAAAGAGAGAGAACCCAGAAATAAAAATAATTCTAGAAAAATCTAGCTGAGAACCGCTGGCGTTGGTCTGCATAAATCCGATTCTTAAAATTTTAAGCAGCTTCTATGGAAAAGTAAACCCAGAAATGAATGGATACAGTTTTCTCCACGCAGGTGCCCTGTATCACGGCAGCAAAGTGACCCCAAATTCAGTCCCATCGTGGGTCAACCCTTCGCCAGCGCCAAGGGTCCCAATGCCTGCTGTCGGTGCTCAGGTGCTTGAGTCAACCCCTCCGCCACATGTGATGAGAGGTAAGAGGATGAACGCTCTGGGATGGAAGAGATGCACCTCTCGTGTGGGGAGGGCCAACGGGTATCCGTGGAAAGGACATTCTCTTTGGAGATTGTTCATGACACTCACGTGAACTTGCATTACTTAACAGTCAGCACTTCACGTCCTTTATCATGAAAACAGGCATCATGATTCTATACATGACTGGGTTGTTGACGAAATGTGAAACCATCTTTAAAGAGCTAGCATGTAATAGCCACTCAATAAACAGGTGAAGCTATCCATCTTAGGATCAAAACTATTTGAATGTTATTTCCTGTAGAGTTGCACTGTTGTTATTGTTTAGTGGCTAAATCATGTCCCACTGTTTGCAACCCCATGGAGTGTAACCCACCAGGCTCCTCTGTCTGTGGGATTTCCCAGGCAAGAATACTGGAGTGGGTTGCTATTTCCCTCTCCAAAGGATCTTCTTGACTGTGGGATGGAACCTGCATCTCCTGCCTCTCCTCCATCGGCAGGCACATTCTTTACCACTGAGCCACCTGTTCAGTTCAGTCGCTCAGTCGTGTCCAACTCTTTGTGACCACATGGACCACAGCATGCCAGGCCTCCCTGTCCATCACCAACTCCCGGAGTCCACCCAAACTCATGTCCATTGAGTCGGTGATGCCATCCAATCATCTCATCCTCTGTCATCCCCTTCTCCTCCTGCCTTCAATCTTTCCCAGCATCAGGGTCCTTTCAAATGAGTCAGCTCTTCGCATGAGGTGACCAAAGTACTGGAGTTTCAGCTTCAACATCAGTCCTTCCAATGAACACCCAGGACTGATCTCCTTTAGGATGGACTGGTTGGATCTCCTTGCAGTCCAAGGGACTCTCAAGAGTCTTCTCCAACACCACAGTTCAAAAGCATCAATTCTTGGGCGCTCAGCTTTCTTTATGGTCCAACTCTCACATCCACGCATGACCACTGGAAGCCACGTGAGGAGCCTGTAAAACCGCATTATCATCACATTATTTGCAGGACTATTTGTTAATTTGCTTGCTTGGTTTTAACAGTGTATTTGAAAGTCCTAGTTTTGCTCAGTGTTTAAAAATCTAGAGCTAGGGACCTTGGTTCTGTGTTTTAATGAGGCCCTCTTGTGCTCAGCTCCTACACAAAATCAATTAACCAAGTATTTACTGACGACAGAGCATGGGCTTGATGGTGTGAGGAGTGCAGAGCAGGCCAAGACTCTGTGCTCTGCTTGAGTTGACCCTGCATGTCTTGCTCCCACACACACTTGAAGGAGCACCTCAGGATGGTTGGGAGAATCAGTTTGTAATCAGACAGTGCGGCTTTAAGTCATAGCTGTGCGACTTACTAACTCTGTGATGTGACCTTGGGCAAGTCACTGTTCCTTTGCAGGACTGCAGTGAGACTTAGTTAATGTTTGCAGGGAGCTCAGTGACAGTATCTGGAAAACAGCAACCTTTCACTGGACGGTACCCTGCTCTTTTGATTTTATTCTGGAGAACACAACCACTGCAGCTCCTAATTCAGGCCTTCCTCTTCAGTCCCTCCAATTCTGAGGCTCAAAGCCTGACAGTGTGAAATTACTCCTCTCCACCCGGTCACCAGATACTGTGGCTTCCACCAGATGTCTCTTGAATTTCTCTCCCCACCCCTCCCCAAACCAAGTCACCATGCTAGTTCCTGCATTTAACATTTCTTGCTCTAATGACTGCTGTCTTAGCTACTAAATGATCTTCCTGTGTGTACTTTCTGATACTTAATTCCTACTGAGACCAGTAATTATAACATTGGGTCAGCCAAAACGTTTGTTTGGGTTTTCCTGTAATGTTGTACAAAAAACCTGAATGAACTTTTTGGCCAACCCACTAAAATGGGGTCAAATCATATTACGTTTATTCTCCAAAACCTTTAAAAGTTCCCCAACAGAATAAAGGTCTGTTCTGTAGCAGGGTGGTCCATGGTCTCTAAGACCTACATTCTTGGTCTTATCAAAAACCCATTCTCCAGGTACCTTGAGTTACTATCCAGACAAATCTCCAACTTCTCTCCCTCCATACCTTTACCCATTCTGTCCACTCAAGGATAGAATCTCTCTCTCTGCTCATGTCTTTTACCTACCTGTCTTCTCCTACCTTCAAGGCTTCGTTCAAAAGCCAACTCTTTCAATTGTTTTCTCTTTTTGGCCACACCATAGTATGCAGGATCTTAGTACCCTCCGCCCCCTGCCACCAACCAGGGATCAAACCCATGCCCTCTGCAGTGGAAGTGCAGACTCTCAACCACTCACCCACCAGGGAAGTCTCCGCCCACCCTTTCATAAGGTCCTTCTCCACTTGCCTGAGTGAAATTGATCCTCCTTTCATCTTCATTCCCAGAGCGTTGTGCTTTGGTCATTTTTCTATCGTTTACTTTATTCCATCTCATATGAGTGCTTGGGTCTGCCTTCATGAAAGAAAAAATGATATTCTATTAAAGGAAAAGATTAGTCATGACATCTGTGAAGGCACAGTAAGGAAGATTTTATTCAAGGGGATGTAGGTACCACTACATTGGGGTATTGCAGTGGGGTACAGAGATTGGACTCATTCTGAACACACCGTGGGAAACTGGGCATTTATAGACAAAAACAGGGTCAGTGGATGGAAGATTACTAACAGGAAGCATCAGTGGGTAAAGGGGGTCCAGTTAAACTGACCTAACAGGGCTTCCCTGATAGCTCAGTTGGTAAAGAATCCACCTGCAATGCAGGAGACCCCGGTTCAATCTCCTGGGTCGGGAAGATCCGCTGGAGAAGGGATAGGCTACCCACTCCAGTATTCTTGGGCTTCCCTTGTGGCTCCCCTGGTAAAGAATCTGCCTGCAATGCGGGAGACCTTGGTTTGATCCCTGGGTTGAGAAGATACCCTGGAGAAAGGAAAGGCTACCCACTCCAGTATTCTGGCCTAGAGAATTCTATGGACTGTATAGTCCATGGGGTTGCAAAGAGTCAGACACGACTGAGCAACTTTCACTTCACTTCAACAGGATTCTTGCTGAAGATAGGCCGAGGGAATCAGACCTCACCTAGTGGGGGGCCGGGGCGGGGGAGGAACCTGATTAAGATACAAAGGTGATCAGATATGGAGGGTGGAGGATTCTAGCTAAACCTCCTTAGTAGGATTTTTGCTAAAATTGGACAATGCAGAGATGAACACAGAGGTCCTGAATTTTAGGTTGAACTTGAAGAGTTCAGGGAAAGCTGAGTTTATTCAAAGACAGAATTTTTGTCATGCCATTAAATTGTTCCTATCTTGAAGGTAGGGACCACAACTTTTATAGCTACACCAAACACTGCCTAATTCAAAGCTTTGCACATAATTTGTTTTTTTCTCACTAAATATTTGTTGAATGGCTAAACAAACAAACAAAAAAGATCAGCCAAAACAATGGTGTCTAGTAACAAAAGAGTACTTTCTTGGGAACAGTTTGATTCTTGATTGCTCTTGGAATTGATCGATACTAATTTGTAAGCCAACAGGTAATATGTCTTTTTTATTTTTATGCAGTGTGTTAGATATAGGTACTTCATGTAAACATTCACTGTATACACATATATGTTGTTGTTCAGTTGCTAAGTCATGTCCAACTCTTTGTGACCCTATGGACTATAGCCTGCCAGGCTCCTCTGTCTTTCACTCTCTCCTGGAGTTTGCTTAAATTCATGTCTGTTGAGTCGGTGATGCTATCTAACCATCTCGTCCTCTGCCACCTCCTTCTGCTACGCATATATATATGTAGTATATATATATAGTGTGTGTGTGTGTGCTTGTGTTTCTTCTTCCTTATGTCTTTCTTTTCTAAATATTTTATTTATTATTTATTTATTTGGCTGTACAGGGTCTTAGTTGCAGCATGTGGAATCTAGTTTCCTGACCAAGGATAATACCTGGGTCCCCTGCATTGGGAGGGCAGAGTCTTAGTCACTGGATCACCAGGAAAGTCCCCCTTATTCATTTTTCTCTCTAGCCAAGAACATATGGTGTGGCTACAGAATGAGTATCCACTCTGTACAATAACCTAGAACTTGATGGCAGCTCCATGAAGAGGGGACAGTGCTTGGACCTGGGTCCCTGGTGCCTAGAAGAGTACCTGGCATATAATAGGAGCCCAATAAACATTTGTTCTTGTGAAATTGAAGATGTTTGGCAATAAAATACTGTTCAAAATAATCTTTCTTTTCTATGATTTTGCTTAGTTTCATTTTCTTTGTATATTTTCCAGTTGAAAATGACCCACACTTCATCATCTACCTACCAAAAAGCCAAAAGAATATTTGTTTCAATATTGACTCAGAACCTGGAAAAATCCTCAACCTTGTTTCTGATCCAGAATTAGGTAAGATAAAAATATACTATATTTGAATTCGACTACTAGGTCACAATCATTCTTTGCTATTGTTTTTATCTGGATTTCTTTCTTTCCTACCTTAATAAAAGTGTTTCATATAGTATATATAGGACTTCCTAGGGGGTGCATTGGTAAAGAACCCGCCTGCCAGTGCAGGAGACTCGGGTTTGATCCCTGGGTCAGGGAGATCCCCTGGAGGAGGAAATGGCAACCCACTCCAGTATTCTTGCCTGGAGAATTCCACGGACAGAGGATCCTGGAGTGCTATAGTCCATAGGGGTGCAGAGAGTTGGACATGACTGAGTACAGCACAGCATATTTTTCAAGCTATATTCTTCAAGCTCTAATAGTAAGAAATTAATTATAAATATATTCTCGTTTGAACTATTATAGATACAATACTCTGAGTATAAACTAGCAGAACTTGTTGTCATATAATTCATTTAAACCATAAAAAATTATTGAAAATTACAAAGGAAAAAATGATGTGTAAATCCTGAAGCAAAATAAAACAATAATTTCCCATATTGTCATGTTTTATACATTTGAGTTATCGTGCCCACATGTGCCAAAAAAAAAAAAAAAAAAGNACACTGGGACGTTGTCTTCTGAGTAATATCTTCCCATGAGTATCTGTTCATTGTTGATACAGAAACGTATACACTGACAGAATTCCAGTGCTAGGAGATACATCAACATTCTGTGATGAAAACGTTTTAAAGCTCTTAGAAAACTGGGGTGGGGTTGGGGGTGGGGGTTGTACTGGGCAGAATGAAGTCATGTTCGGGGTGGGAGAGGAATGATTTGCTAAGTGAGTCAGTTCTAGGGACTTCACATTTCCAATGCAGGGGGCGTGAGTTCGATCCCTGGTCGGGGAACTAGAGGTTACATGCTGCAACTAAGAGATTCCATATACCGCAACAGAGATCTCAGATCCTGCAAGCTGTAACTAAGACCCAGTGCAGCCAAATATATATTAAATTAGTGTTTTAAAAAAAACACAATAAAAAATAAAGCAAGTCAGTTCTAGAAACATTCATTCCTCTTTTACAATTTTTGAGTGAGGTGAAAGTAGCTCAGTTGTGTCTGACTCTTTACCTCTAGTTGGCAATCTGGCTCACGCGGGAGCTTCAGTAGACCTAACTATTTTTCCTCTACACCTGGCAGGTGTCTCATGCAGGCGACTGCATGGACTGTAGCCCACAAGGGTCCTCTGTCCATGGGATTCTCCAGGCAAGGATATTGGAGTGGGTGGCCATTTCCTTTTCCTGGGATCTTCCTGACCCAGGATGGAACCAGGAATTGGAGGATAATTGTTTTACAATGCTGTGTCATTAATTCCTTTCTGCCTTCCCACTAGGGTGCTTGTTTCTGTGAAGAAAGAGAAAACTGTGACTATCACCCTGGATAAAGAGATATTCTTCTCTGTTCTACTTCATCGTGTTTGGAAGAAGCACCCAATCAATGTCGACTTTTTGGGAATCTACATCCCGCCTACAAACAAGTTTTCTCCTAACGTGCATGGGCTGATAGGTAAAGTGTCCCTGGACCATCTGGCTGGTGTGGGGCCGGCCACCCTAGGTCTTGAGCAACTTTGCCTCAAGGTTAGAATGTTTGGTTAGAATGTGGAAAAGAGACAGGATGGAGTGGAGGCTTCAGGAGGACCCACACACTCTGCACCTGAGTCTTAGTTTATGAAGGTGCCTGAGTGACACAGAGTTCAGTGTTATTGAGAGACTGTAATATTTGTCACTGTTCACAGTTTCCATAGAAACACGAAGTGCATCTTGCCATGCAGGGCCATGGGGAGAAAGCCAGATTTGGGTCAGGAACCAGAAGCAGAAACAAGGTCTAGGTTAAAACCTTTACTCTGTGGCAGAGACAAGACAGAGCCAGGTGGTGTGGGGTTGGTTGGCTTGGTAATTGCAGCAGGCGTTAGGCTACAGGATGTCTTTCCTTGCATGGTACCTGGCCCAGGAATGATTCCTCTGGGTCTCACAGGCCAGAGAGAAGAGGCCTGGCTCTGGCTTGGTTCTTTTGAAGATTCCAGCTGGGCTCCTGGCTGAGTCCTTTGCTATCTTTCATAGTTGGCTTTCCCAGGGAGGGGTAGATGGAGTGTTTAAGATATCAAATATCATAAGATACAGAGAATAAAACACATGATTCTTCTAACAAAGCAGTGCAGGGCGACTCAGTCATGCTAGAGCCAGGACTGTTTGCTGCTCCAGACAAGGTTTTCCCAGGGCTGGGCTTTCATCACCAACTGGGCAGATAAAGAGAACAGATGAACACACTTTAAATTTTATGCTGAAGATTTTTTTCTCACTGAAAAGAAGTGAACTGGCTTAGGAAGTCTGTGATAATGAACAGGGTGTCCACATATACCTTCCCTACTTTGTGAAGAACTATGGCAATTTAAGCGTATAGTAGCATCAATACTTTGGTCACCTGATGCAAGATGACTCATTGGAAAAGACCCTGATGCCAGGAAGGACTGAAGGCAAGAGGAGAAGGGGGCGACAGAGGAGATGGTTGGATGGCATGGACATGAGCTCAATGGCCATGAGCAAACTCCAGGAGATGGTGATGGACAGGGAGGCCTGGTGTGCTGCAGTCCATGGGGTCACAAAGAGTCGGACACGACTGAGCGACTGAACAACAAATAGCATCATGAACCAACTTTGTTTTTTCGGTTTGAGCAGTGCTCTCAGCTGCTGACCTTCAGGGCATTCGCATTTACTTAGGGTCCAGTTGATCACCCTCATTGTCTAATGACGGCAAGGTTTGCAGCATGGCTCTGCCCTTAGGAAGGACCCACCCCTTTCCATCTGAGTCTTTTTCCTCTCAACACATCTTTCTATCCCCAAAAGTCTGAGAGGGACCCAAATGCAGCTTGGATCACGTGACCAGCTTGCCCTTTTGTCGCCCCTTGAGTTGCGTTAAATAAACATCTCGACCTTGTCTCATAGGCCAGTTCATGAATGAGCCAAAGATCCATATCTTCAACGAGCGACCGGGAAAGGACCCTGAGAAGCCAGAGGCAAGCATGGAGGTGAAGGGACAAAAGCTGGTTGTCACCAGGTAGGTCTCAGATGGGTAAGACGGGAACAGAAGGGGCTCCTGTGAGGACTGGACTCACAGGGCAAAATAGAAGAGGTAAGCCCATTAGTTGTGTTTATCTGAAGTTCAAATTTAACTGGCATCCTGTTTTTATTTATCCCTTTTTTTTTTGGCCATGCCCCACAGCACATGGGGTCTTAGTTCCCTCACCAGGGATGGAAACTGTGCTCCCTGAGTTAGGGTGCGAGGGAAGTCCCGACATCCTGTGTTCTTATTTGCTAAATCTGGCAGCTTCTTCCTTGCTGTGAGCTAATCTGGAGACTATACCAGCCCTAGCTGACCTTGAGAACACAGCCGCCAGCCAGTTCTCACTGTATCCTTGCCCTTTGTGCCCCATGACCAGAAAGAGGACTGGCCCTGAATCCTTGGGCCTCCCCCTGCAAAGGCAGAAGGTGAAAAACAAGAAAAAAAGAAAGTGAATTTGCATTCCTTACCTTCCTGGGACTATATTGGTCAATTTCTATACAGGTTACTTGAATTTCCAAGGACACCCTGCTTATTCTCTTTCTAAACCAAGTCCCAGACTGTTATTTTGTAGGACTCAGGGAAATGGGGAGGGGAGGGGTGTTAGCAGATACAGTGTTGCATGTGCACTCAGGCTGTGTGACTCTTTGCCACCTCATGGATATAGCCAGCCAGGCTCCTCTGTCCATGGAATTTTCCAGGCAGGGATATTGGAGTGAGTTGCCGTTTCCTTGGGATCTTCCCAACCGAGGGATGGAACCTGAGTTTCCGGTATCTCCTGCATTGGCCGGTGGATTCTTTACACCCAGCCAACTGGGAAGCCCAGAGATGGTGCTAGAAGGGGGCAGAAAAAAGAGGGAGAGCCTGTGTGTCTTTTTTCCAGACAGGCAGGCTGGCCCTGCTCTGGTCTGTTTCCTAACCATGCTCATGCTCTCTTGCAGGGGTCTGCAGAAGGATTACCGGACGGACAGAGTGTTTGGAACGGATGTTCCCTGCTGGTTTGTGCACAACAGCGGGAAAGGCTTCATCGACGGGCATTACAAGGATTACTTTGTGCCTCAGCTCTATAGCTTCCTCAGACGGCCTTAAAAGTTTATAGCTGGGGAAATTCTCAATAAAAAATATAGTTTTTTTTCCCCCTGCCACCTTTGTAGTCATTCTTGAGTTTGAATAATCAAAACCTAACAAGACATCAAGGTGGTTGATAAAACCTATTAACACAGCTGAAGAAAATAAATACTTTGCCAAGAAGTTTTAGGATGTTGTTGTTTGCAGATGCGAAGTTGTGTTAATCGAGGTGCAGAGGAAAGCCGCTTTGGCGAGTCAAGCCATCATCTGGACAGAGTCCTGGGTTTGGCATTTACTGGGAGGACTTCAGTATGGTTGAGTGTCAGGTCCTCGGCTTTACAACTGAATATATTTTTAGGTTGTCAGTTACACAGGAAGTTCAATTATGAGGTTATTTGGTGAACTTTGAATAAGAATAGGGGAAGTCACTTACCTTGTTTTGTAGTTTTATATATATATAGATAGATATAGATATAGACATAGATATAAATCTGTCACCCAACCTTGCTAAGATACCTGTGATGGTCCATCATGCTTAATCAAAATTCCCTCCTTGGAACTGGCCTCAAAGACCCTTTTTAGTCCAGGAAGACTGTATTAGTTAGGGTTTTCCTAAGAGAACTAGTGGGATGGCTGTATCATATATACATATACACACACTACACACACACACACACACACACACACACACACACATACAGTTGGCCCTTGAACAATGTGGGGCTTGGGGCTGCCAAAATCCCACAAAAACCTACAAATTTTTATCTCTGTCTCAAAAACAAAGGAATTGACATCCTATGACTCACCCAAGGGCAGGAGATGGAAACAGTTTGGAATGAACCAGGACTCAAACACTAGTTCTTTTGATTCCATGTAGTGTGATCTCTAATCTGACACAAACTTCTCCCCACACTTAGTTCATTTAAAGATCTATAAATTGAAAATATAAGTACTATATTTGGTTTTTTAAAAATCCATGCAGTTCATACCTGAGTTGCTCAAGGCTCAACTTGAAGAGCTGTTATAAGGAATTGGCTCATGTGATTATGGAGGCTAGTCCAAGTCTGATCTATTGTCATTCTGTACTTTCTTTTGCTTATAATCTTCCTTTAAATCTATTCTGAAAATGGGTATGTGTTCAAAGGCCAAAGCGATAAAATTGCACTTCAGAAAAAAATTTAAATCTACATTTTTATGAAGCTTTCTCTGCATAATTCGGCAAAAACCAGTTTTCATTTTAGAAAGTATCTTTTTGGAGATACTCAACCAGTATTTGAGAAAGCAGGTGATTATCTTTGGATATAATTGCAAAATATGAAATGTATGTGATTATTTCTGTAACCTAAAGATAACCTCAGTGCTGAAGAAGTATTGCCTTTTAGTTTCATTCATCTATAAAAACTGGTCACCTATGCCACCTATGATTTTTTAAAAAAAATCTACAACATATTTTCCATTCCATTTCAAAAATATGAATCTTAAAATGCTAATATTCAACACGAACTTCAAAAGTGGGTTCTTATCATGGCTACTTTGTAAAAAATTTTTGCTCTAAAACCACTACTTTAGCTGTATAAGGTTAGTTCTAGCCCTAGTATTTTACATGTGCTCAGTAGTTTTAAAAATAATTATGAAAATCTTGGGGTGTAAATTTACATGCAGTGTATTTAGCAACAGAGTCCTAGCAAAAGAAACTAGATTTAAAATCGAACCCGTCATAAAAACTTGTAAGTTATCAAAACTTCTATTAATAGCTAGTATTTTAAAATTAATTGCCTATAAAAATAATCTTATTAATACTATTCATGCGACCCTCTTGAGACTAGAAAAATGCCTTCTCTATATAATTAATTTTGAATAATCAATTTTTAATTTCAAATGAGGAAACCAAATAAATTAGAATCATTGAAAAGAAAGGAAATATGCCACTACCTCTTGACTAGTGTCTGAAAGTATATTGTGTATATTTATGAAGAAAAGCAACTTGGTAATTATCTATGTTTGTTTATTCGCTGAAGCACCTTGGAACCCATTGGTAACTGGTCAATATTTAATTTTGTATGAGGCTTGGTGGTAAAGAATCTTCCTGCCAATGCAGGTGATCCAGGAGATGTAGGTTTGATCCCTGGGTCAGCAAGATCCCCTGGAGAAGGAAATGGCAACCCATTCCAGAATTCTTGCCTGGGAAATCCCATGGACAGAGGAGCCTGGTGGGCTACAGCCTATGGGTTCACAAGAGTCAGACACAACTTAACAACTAAATAACCACAACAGAGCTGGGGGATGACAGGGCTGTGTGTGTGCATGCTAAGTTGCTTCAGTCATTCCACCTCTTTGTGACCTCATGAACTGCAGCCCACCAGGCTTCTCTGTCCATGAGATTCTCCAGGCAAGAATACTGGAGTGGGTTGCCATGCTCTCATCCAGGGGATCTTCCCAGCCCAGGGACTGAACCTGTGTCTCTTGCATCTCCTGCATTGGCAGGCAGGTTCTTTACCACTAGTGCCACCTGAAAAGCCCAATACAGGGCTAGTATTTGTCAGATATATTCATCTTTCAGACAAAGCCTGTCTTCAATGCTTCTCCTAAGTATCAACCTAGTTACCATTAAACCAATTAGATACCTATGTCTTACTGTCAGAACTGGAACTCTTTGAGAAAAAGCGGACACTGGGTTCAGATTATACCTGTCAAAAGTTTGTGTTGTTCAATTATTGAAAATTAAACAAGGTTTCTTAGAGTTGGAATATCGGTATCCAAAGAAACAACTTTTTTAAACGGGGGAGGGGAATGAAAGTGTCTCAGTGTGTAGTAAAAATGAACAATGAATCAGTAAGTTATTTTAGTACCTAAGGGTATGAGGTCTTATGCAAATCCTTCTATTTCCTTTAAAGGATCACTTAATACCGTAAGGGGCATCTTCTCTTCAGCCTTATCCCAACTGAAAGACATATAGATGACCCCAAAGGCCCCGTAAGAGCAAAGTAGAAGTTTACCTGGCTGCCTAGATACATAAAAATGCCTATATGCTGTAACAGTATTTTTCACTCTTTCCTTAACACTTTTTCAGGGAATTCCCTGGTGGTCTGGTAGTTTAGACTTGGCTCCTGGGGCCTAGGTTTGATTCCTGGTCAGACAAACAAAAAAACACCAAAAAAACATTTTTTCACACTGACAAAGTCTACATGGGTGAATTTTTCTGAAATAACCACTGTAAGAGGAAGGAAAATCAAGGATGCTTCCTTTTAATGGCATGATTCAATTAGCTAACATTTCAGGGGCACTTCAGTCTACCTAATGGGGACCCTACAGTGAAAGCTGCCCCATATTTGAATCCTGGGACCCCATTTTACCAGAGTAGGAACCGAGGTGTATGCTGGCGGCAGTTATAGGTTTCTCACTGAAGGACAGCAAAGTCAGGGTGGGTTTTTAAGGAGCTATTCCAGATTAGCTCATTTCTATCAGCCAATCTTTTCATTTGAGTATCAATTCATTGAACATGGTCAGTTCCTACGCTACACCCACCTTGGATCTATACCTGCTTCTCACCCTTTTATCTCCAGCACTTATTGCAATGGTTTACTTCTAGAGGCACTTAGTAAATGTTTGTTGAATAAATTTACTAAAAGATGTCAGCAAAAACTGACAGGCGGTTAGAAGGGCATAAGGGGAGGAAACTCCCTTGGCGGCCCAGTGGTTAGGACTCAGCTCTTCCAATGCAGCAGGCCCGGGTTCCATCTCTGGCTGGGGAACTGAGATCCCACAAGCCATGGGGCACAGCCAAAAAAGCAAAATAAAGAAGTAATAAAATAAAAGAAGTACATAAGGGGAAAATGAGCAAACAGAGCAATGGGACCCAATGGCATTCCTAATGAAGAAACTTCAAGGAATTAGGTTTCCTAAGATACCAATAATTTGATATGACCTCAAGTTAGATTGTGAAAAAGAATCTTTCCAAAAACTGAGAAGCCACAAACTGAGAGAAAATACTCTCAAAAGACATATTTGGTATAAGACTATCATCCAAAATACATAAAAAAACTCTTGAAACTCAACAGTAAGGAAGTGAATGACCCAACTTAAAAATGACAGAAGACTTAACTAGACGACTCACCAAAGGAGACATACAGATGGTAAATAAACATATAAAAAGATGCTCAACATCGTACGTCATTAGGGATTGCAAATTAAAACAATGAACTACTACCACACACCTATCAGAATGGCCAAAATCATGACAATACCAAATTCGGGTGAGGCTGTGGAGCAACAGGAACTCTCATTCATTGCCTGCAGGAATGCAGAATGGAACAGCGACTTTGGAAGTCACTCTTACCATTCAATCCAGTAAACACGCTCCTTGGTATTTATCCAAATGAGCTGAAAAGTTAACACAAAAATCTACACATGGAGGTTTGCAGCATCTTTATTCAGAGTTGAGAAAAATGGAAGCAACCTAGATGTCCTTCAGTAGGTGAATAGCTAAGTAAACTGTGGTGTATCTGGATATTGTGATATTATTCAGCACTAAACAGAAATGAGCCATCATGTCGCGAGAAGATGCACAGAGGAAACTTAAACGCATGTTACTAAGTAAAAGAAGCCAGTCTGCAAAGGCTTACATACTGTATGAGTCCAACTATGACATTTTGGAGAGATCGAAACTATGTAGACAGTAAAAAGATCAGTGGCTAACGGAGGTGGGGAGGGAGGGAAATGAGGTGGATTTTTAGACAATGAAACTATTTTGAACGATACCATAATGGTGGATACACGTCATCATACGTTTGTGTAAGCCCACAGAATGTACACCACCAAGAGGGAACAATAATGTAAACCATGGACTTTGAGTGATGATGACAGGTCAGTGGAGGTTCATCAATTCTGCTTAATTTTGTCTAAACCTGAAACTGCTGTAAAGAATAAAGTCTGTTTTTTAAAAAGAATAATAACTTACAATGTTTTAAACAGAAAAGTCAGGGAATTCCCTGGTGGTCCAGTGGTCAGGACTCTACTTCTACTGCAGGGGGGCTGGGGTTCAATTTCTGGTAGGGGAACTAAGATTTTGCAAGCTGTCTGGTGCAGCCAAAAAAAAAGAAAAAAGGTCAACATAAGACTTGATTTTAGGTGTCTGTAGTTACTCTGCTTAATATAACCATACTGGCCTCTAAAACCTTATAGGGAAAACAGTTCTACAGTATAGAATCATATTTTTATGCTTGATTTTTTTTAAACTTAACCTCAATAACACTACTTTGTGATAATTTCAGGAAGACGCTGGAGAAAAGAATGTGAGAGGTAAGGATGAAATTTTTTCTGTGAAGAAAACTACTGAGTTGATTCCAAACTTACAGATTTGGGGGAGGCCTGTGAAAAACATCGTGTTTTATTTCTGCACCATAATCAGGGCAAGCCATTTCTTATGGAAATGGCTCTTCAAATGTTAGACACAGCATAACATGAGTGAGTTACAGTGTGACACAGTGACTCCAATCCCAGGATCTGAAAATGTATGACCACAAAGTCTAGTACACGCATGTTCACAGCAGCGTTATTCATAATAGCCTCAAAGTGGAAGCAATCCAATTCCATCAACTGATGAATAGTTTTTAAAAAATGTGGTATATATCCATACAAAAGACTACCGCTAAACGAAAATGAGGTAGTGACCCATGCTACAACATGGATAACCCTTGAAAACACTACACTTTGTGTAAGAAGCTGGTTATAAAAGACCACATACCGTATGATTCCACTTCTATGAAATGTCCAAGACAGGCAAATTCACAGAGATGGAAAGCAGATTAGTGGTTGCCAGTAGTCTGGAGTGACTATAGATCCAGGGTTACTTTTGGGGAGATGAAAATTCCCAAATTAGACAATGGTGATTGTCAAACAACTTTGTAAATATTCTAAAAACCACTGAAATGTCCACTTTTCAGTTCAGTTCAGTTCAGTCGCTCAGTCGTCTCCGACTCTTTGCGATCCCATGAATCGCAGCACGCCAGGCCTCCCTGTCCATCACCAACTCCCGGAGTTTACTCAAACTCATGTCCATCTATTCGGTGATGCCATCCAGCCATCTCATCCTCTGTCATCCCCTTCTCTTCCTGCCCCCAATCCCTCCCAGCATCAGGGTCTTTTCCAATAAGTCAACTCTTCACATGAGGTGGCCAAAGTACTGGAGTTTCAGCTTCGGCATCAGTCCTGCCAATGAACACCCAGGACTGAAATGGGTGAAACTGTACAGTGTGTGAATTACATCTCAATAAAGCTATTCTATTTATAGTTTGACTCTTAAAAATGTAATTATATTACATCCAACTTTACTACTTTACTGATGAAAATATAAATTTAGAGTATATGAAAGATTTGCTCTACAATAGTTCTACAATGTCCTATTTACAACACTTTACAATAATATTCTTTTAATGTAGATTAAAAAATCAAGGAAATACTACAAAGGCAACAAAAACAAGGACAAAATTACATAATTTTGATACTTCACGAGACATAACTAGATTTTTCTATAAGTTAGGCTAAACAACTACAGTAATATTTAAATAAATCCATTTGTTTTATAAAAAGAAACACCCTAACACAGTAGAGTCTTGTAATGTCTTGGTGAACACCAATTTGATGCTTTAAGATTTTAATGTTATGCTAATAAATTTTCAAACTCAGGCAAGTTTAGAAATGTCTTCGTATTGAATTCCTTCAACTCTGCGTCCTTTTAAAGGGCCCTACAAATTAAAATAATTGAAGAAGTGGTTAAAAACACACATGCACTTACAAGACAAGAAAAGGACATATGCTTCTGGATGCCAATGTGCCTTTTTCACATTGGCATCATTAAGACACCATTAGGCATACCTAAGACACCATTAAGGTAGCTAACAGATCTTCATGACTCTGAATTTTTAAAAAATATCCTATGGCGTCCTTGTCAGGAACTGGTCGTGTTTTCTTCATGCTGGGTGGGATGTGTTACCACTAGATACTGTGATGGAGACTTGCTGGCTAGTCAGCACCTCCTGCCCCCTCCCTGGCTCCCCCAGTCAGGCATGGTGTGAGACGGCGCTCCGGCCCACGGAACGGACCAGGAGTGACACGGGGCTGGCCCAGGTCACGCACCCTCCACACGCAGCCCATGGACCAGGAGTGACACGGGGCTCGCCCAGGCCACACACCCTCCACACGCAGCCCACGGAACGGCCAGGAGTGACACGGGGCTCGCCCAGGCCACACACCCACCACACGCAGCCCGTCATGCTCCCCATGATGAGGATGACACAGTGCAGCAGTGCAAGGATCTAAAACCCCTGTCTCAGATCCTTCCTTTGAAGACAGGTCAGGTCTCACTCTTGTGAGCAGAGCTGTCAGTGGAGCAATTCTAAATGAACCAGCAATTTTACTTAAATGTCAGATTCCTGTGAGTGAATTACTTTATTGATCTCGCCTACCTTAAATCCTTTATGAAAGAAGGAAGAACACACTGAAAAATTATTGATCTCTGTGGCTTTCCTCCATTAATCATGACTATACATTCCTCACTAATTACACTCTGGCAGATAAAGTTTATATTAGATATGAGGGGGAAAAAACTGGGATACAAAACTATACATATTATACACAATTTTATAAAATACAAAGATGGGGGAAAAACAGGCTAAAATATTAATGGAGGTTATCATTTGCCTGGAGGCTTATGGGCAATTTTTTTAAGTATTTATATTAAATTGTAATTTTCAGCTTTTATACAAGAGTATTGCTGCAGACTGAACGTTTGTGTCCCACCCAAAACTGATTCAATACATTAAAATGTGATGGTGAGGAGGTGGTGAGGTCACAAGGGCAGAGCCCATGAGAATGGGATTAGTGCCCCTGAAAACGGATCCCAGAGAGCCACCAGGACTAGTCCATGGAATTCTCCAGGCCAGAATACTGGAATGGCTAGCCTTTCCCTTCTCCAGGGGATCTTCTCAACTCAGGGATCAAACCCAGGTCTCCGACACTGCAGGCGGATTCTTTACCAGCTGGGCCGCAAGGGAAGCACAAGAATACTGGAGTGGGTAGCCTATCCCTTCTCCGGGGGATCTTCCCAACCCAGGAACTGAACTGGGGTCTCCTGCATTGCAGGTGGATTCTTTACCAACTGAGCTATCAGGGAAGCCCAGATCCCACATACCTTATAGTCAAAAAAACCAAAACATAAACATAACCAAAAAAACCAAAACATAAATTAAGTAAAGACTTTTAAAAATGTTCTATGTCAAAAAAACTCTTAAAAATAAGGGGTGGGGTGGCAGGGTCGGGGTGGGGGAACCTTACAGATTTCCAAACAGGAGAGAATACAAACAGAACACCCAAACGCATAAATCACCAATTCAATGACAAAAACCATGGCACATTTTAAAAGCACTTTGAAATTTGTCTTTCTGTAAATATACTTACAGTTTCAATGACTATAGTAGCAGAAAAAGTCTTCTCATTGATGGATTCTAGGGTGCCTTCATTTCCTCTGTAGCCTCCATTTAAAACACGGATTCTTTTTCCTACAACAGAAAAAGGGATAACACTTAATACAAAGAAAATGCCACTTTCTTCTACTTTCTTACAGCCAAATATAATTGCACTGCATCAACACAGTGCAAGTTCTTAATCATTTATTATCTGTATGATTCTAAAGTACAGTTTGTAGAGACTTCGATCACCATCACATTATAAGACTCCTCATTTTTTCCACTTATTTGTTAAGGGATGTTTTAATTTAAGACCAAAGAGCATAAAGTTCTTGGGAGGGGACGCCCAGAGCCCATAAATAACCAGAAAATATTCAGCTTATTTTGCCTCTTTTTAAAATCACAGGATGCTTGTTAGTTTCATAAAAATGTAAACATACGCCTACTGAACCATTCTATCTCTAGAATTGTCTCAGAAAAGATATCTTATGTCTATATAAAGATCTGTACATGAATGTTCATATAGCAGTTTTATTTGTAATGGCCAAGAACTTTAAACAATCCCAATGTCCATCAGTAGGTGACTGGATAGATATTGGCATGTCCACATAATGAAATACTCAGCAGTAAAAACGGATAGGGTACAGAGGCACACAACATTATTCTAGATTCATCCAGAATAATGGATGAATGGGCTTAGTGAGAGAAGCCAGACAAACACAGGACACCTGGTATGATTTTATTTCTATAAAATTCCAGAAAAGTAGGAGCTAATGATGGAATGCAGACTAGTGGCTGCCTGAGGGAGAGGGAAGGCAGAGCAGGGAGCAAAGGGCTATAAAGGAAATGGGGAACTTTGTGGGAGGTGATGGTACATTCACTAATGTGATGGTAGCGATGGTTTTCATGGGAGCAAGTATGTGCTGTAACTTATCAAATTATATACCTTATACACAGATGCAGTTTATGTCAGTTATACTTCACTAAAGTTTTGGGAAAAAAAGTCCACAATTCCTAATCGATAAAATGAATTTTGTTTTAGGGAGAAAGAATAATGGGATCTGATCTGATAAACCAAGTCTGAGAGACTAACATCACTGTGCCAGCAATGATAATGCCATGAAGGGTTTTGGGTCAGAGGCAGACAACCTAACCACAGTGGCATTTACACTAGAAATGTGTAAGATGATTAAGGAACAGAAAAAGCAAAATAAGACTAACTTTTACTTTACTTTCTCAAATGGCTAAACAAATGCATTAAGAATCATTCTAACATGATTGATTTTATCCAGACATGTCTATGATTTGCTTCTGGGGAAAAAAAAAACAGATTCTAGGAAGGGAAAATTTATTCATGCCACAAAATAGCTTCCTCAGAGGATGGGTAAACAACCGCATCACCAAGTCAAACAGGCTGGTCACAACAGGCGATTACATGTTTCTAAAGAGGAAACTCACATCTGGAACTATTGAATAATATCCAGTAGGAATGGACCCACTTCTTCCCATGGTATATGTACTAAAGGGTCTGCAGAGTGATTTACCTGGTGCTGGAATGACTGTCTCTAAATGAGTCTGGTCAAGTTTCAGCTTGTCTCCAGAGTCAATCATCTTTACGACAGCTGTGTATTTGTCAATTACTTCCTGTCATGTAAAACCAACACTTTTATAACAGAAGAGAGATGCCAATATGAAGTCCAAGGATAGAAGTAAATAAATGAAAACAAATGAAATTCTAATCAAAGAGTAAGACCAACTTGTTTTAAGAGTAACTCCTTCTATTAAAATCAATGGAGTTTATTTTCTAGAAGCCATATATGATCAGGCTATGGTCCTTAAAGAGTTCAATTCAAAGTTTAGTTGAGGTTTTCACTTGGAATGAAAAGGCTGGAGATTTTAGAATAAGTCTTTAAGACATATAGGGAGAGGAACAATTCTGCCTTGCAATTTATGCAGGCACAAGGGCTGGCTGCTAGCATGAAACTATACTTAGGAAAAGCAGAAGAAAGAAAAAGACTAGAGAGCTGATTTTTAAATTTTAAAATCCTAGGGCAATCAAGGTAAGCCTCTCAGGTTAAACACAAGGAAGTCCTCCTCAGAATTCTGGGGCATCATTACATTGCCTGTCAACAACGATGGGAATGCATAAGGTGTACTCGTTGAATTTTTTTAAGACATGGCCATGGGCACCTATACTATTTGCTCCAGTAAGAAAGCAAACCACAGTTTATACTATGGCTGGAAACAGAATAGTTCTCCAACCATTGTGCAGTCAGCCATCAAAAACCTTAGACACACTGCTTCTGCTATTAGGACTTGGTTTTTGAGGAGTATCACGATGGCTTTACTCGGCCCCCCACCAGCTCCTTTCCCAAATTCCATCCATAACTTCAGTCTTACCTTTACGACACCCTTCTTCTTATGATACTTCTCTCCAAGTTTTTTGGTTATAATTTTCACTATGATTTTCTAGGGGAAAAAAAAAAAAGATGGAAGGAACGATATAAATTACCTTTTCTCTTTTGATCCTACATTTTAAACCATTTCACCAAAAAATCATAGTAAAATGTTAACTGTTGTTTAAATAAGACCCTTTGGAGTTGGAAGCCTTCCTGGCACAATGGCAAGACATTTTCTTAGTAATCTTTCATTTCTTCTTTCTCTTTTTAACTCAACGCAGTTGGTTACAAAGAGGAAAAAATGCATATCTCATGGCTGATTTCCACAGTGAAGGTTCCCTGAAATCTAGCCCTTCTACCTACCAATCTCAACTATTCTAGGTCTTTCACAGATAGCAAAACCAGAAAATAATTCTAGGCTTAAATTCAAAGGGTCCTTACAAAAATTTGGCATTAAGCTCAAGGAACATTACTGATTCAAGAACAGAAAGCCACCCTCCAACAAAGGTACAACCAGGACTTTACAGAGCAGATGCACAGAGGAGTCATTAAATGTATCTCCAGAAGTGACAGATATTTAAGAAATTTAGCCATTTATATCAAAGACCATTTAAATTATCCACTTAAGAGCACTAGGCCCTGCGGTAAAGAATCCACCCGCAATTCAGGAGACACAGGAGACGTGGGTTTGACCCCTGGGTCAGGAAGATCACTTAGAAGAGGGCATGGCAACCCACTCCAGTATTCTTGCCCGGAGAATCCCATGGGCAGAGAAGCCTGGCGGGCTACCATCTGTGGGGTTGCAAAGAGTTGGACACAACTGTATCAACTGAGCACACACATAAAAGCACACTTAGATATAAGAAGGCCCAGTGGGATACGTACAGGCTGCAGCCAGTAATCTGTCCGTGCAGTTCTTTTCTTCTCCTCTTCAATCTGAAGGACACATGAGACATTCAAACAATTACCTCTTTAAAATATTCAGTTTATTTCTAATAACATTCTATTTAGCAAAAGAACTCCATAAAACACATTTCACAGAAGATTGATATAATGTGCAAGCTCTGATAAACATTTTCTGCAATTTATTTTTGACTGAAAATAAGCAACTCTAAGAAAATAAGCAACAGGCAAATCAACTGATCAAGAAGATAAACACAAACAGCCTCTATCAAGTCAACTGCGAGGCTGCCGGCCAGCATCACACAGTCCCACCCCCCCTTCCTTCCCCAGACTGTCATCAGACGGCAAACAGGTGACATTTTCAGGGGTAAAAATGTAACTCTTACGGACCAATATAGCACAGTGCGCTTGGGTACAGTTTGATGGCAAAGAGGAGCTTCTCTGTTTGACAAGGATGATAAAGCTGTCCAATGAAGGAGAAGGAAACACAACCAGGAGACATGTACACAGAAGGGTGACCAAAAGGAAACATGCTGACCACAGCAGAACTGCACCTCACACCCCTTCCTTTCTCAGCTGCTCAGTTAGACCCAAGTACCAACTTTCAAAGGGAATGAACAATGCCATTCTTTGGTTGATCTGAAATTTCATTTTAATTCCACCGACTTCCCAATATGAACAAAGAATACTCTATAAACTTGGCATGTTATATTCTAAGCAGGTAGATCCAGCTTTCTGCTTCACTTAATTAAATTCAAAATGGGCTCTAAGACTTCTGCAGGGCTGCCCCTGCTCTAACGTCAGATGCCGCCACTCCAGTGCTCACTGGGCTCCAGCCATGTGGATCTTCCCTTCCGAGGCTGAAGTAGCTATCTTTCCCACCTCAGCTAGGGAACAAACTATCTCCCCACTCCCTGCCTTCAAATCTCCTTAGGGCTTTGCATTTTGTAATTACTCATCTACCGGTTCACTTGGTCTGGGATGTCTCCTTCGCTAGAGCAAAAAGCTCCATGACACGCAGGGTCCATGTTTGTCTCCCTACTGCACACACGCAGGCCCTCGCGTGATGCCCGGCACATAATAGCAACTCTGTGTGGGCCAAACGCTAGAATGAACACGTCACAGTGTACACACAATATGTTATACTTTAAGCTGTTCTGACTGCCCTGCATTTTCTGTTTTTCCAATAATAGGGAAGACCAGTTTCCTCCTATCCCTTTGTAAAGGAAGGAAAGGGTGAGGAGCCCAGAGGAAATGATGTTAAGAGGGAAAAAAGTCAGTCTCTTGTACCCATTTATTCTTTCTCTTCATAAATTATGTGAAAATTCATTGATAAGGGAAGGTGGTGGGGTGAAATGGAGAAATGTGTATTTAGGGATATATTAAGAACCTTCTGCAGAATGACTCCAGAATTTCAAGTAAATTTAAAGCAGAAGTATAGCTTTAAGTCAGATAATCACAGGTTTTCAATGATTCATCACATAAATTGACTATCTGGTTTAATCAAATTAAAAATATGTCTGAACATTCTCTTCTCAGCTAGGAGGTGTGAAGTGGAAGTTAAGAGGCCACAGAAGAGATCCTTGGAGGATGCCAATTTCCTAAGCCACCAAAAGGGTGTGCAGAGCTTTCATTTCTGGTGTCAATCACCACGATGGTCCTTCTAAATGAAATCCACTGACCACAATTTCAGGAAGAGTTCTGCAGACAGCAGTTGAGGCACCTGTCTAGGGAGGTTCCAGCTCCATTCAGATGGAACTGCATCTGGGCTCTTCGCCCCCAATCTGGCCTCAGCACATTTTCCTCTTTGTATTAATCTCATAATTGGTTAAACTGTTTAACTCTCCTCGGCTGGAATCACATGGTTCACTGAATAGCTAGAGTGGACACGCAGTTCATAAAGCTCACCTCCATGATTTCATCGAGGGCAGACTTCTTCTTCTTCTCCTTTGACGGAGCTGAGCTCTGGGAGGACTCCTTCCGCTTCACTGATGCCGTGGTCCCAATCGTTTTCAGGGCACTTGGTCCCAAAAAACTGAGGGGAAGAGGAGTGTGCTGTTAACAAAATCTGTGCAAAGGGGCAGGCTTTATAATGGGTGAAAGGAACAACGCAGAAGCAGCCTGTTAAACACGGTTAACTACAGATCAGTCAAAACAATGACGGGCACGTCCCTCACTTACAGGACTGGGAGCATCCTGAGAACACGGGGCCCTTCCTGTCCCCGCCCCCAAGCCAGCGCCACTCTACCCGTGTGCCCGAGCCACGGACAACAGCATCAGCCTCGGCCTCAGGGCCAGGGCCACAAGGGTTTCTTTCTACTTCTGCTAGGACCCTGAGCAATCTTCCCTACGTCCCAGTTCCCCAGCTATAAACAGGGATTATAATGTGGCCCAACTCCAGTTGGATCTCAAGGATCAACCAGGTGAGAGGTTTGTAAAACGGCCAGCAGAAGTCCAGCACACTGCTGTTGGTCCCAATTCTTTAAAACAAAGATTTCAACATTCAGCTTGAAAGTGTTTATTACTCCTGATTGCCTGAAATCTTCACAGCGCACATTCTCAACTTTTGAGGGCGACTATACAACCATCACCACTGGCCCCAGGATACTACCCCCAATTTACTCTGTGTACTTGTCATTCTGAACAATTTGCTATTGACTGAACCATGCCTGTGCTTCAAGCCTCTGTAACTCTGCACATTCCTCTTTGTACCTAAAATAGTCTTTCCATTTTCTCCACTTGTCAAAATTCTTTAAGATCCATTCCTTATGAGATTTCTTGGATTGTATCCTTTTTTGAACTGCCAGAGCACTCTGGGGCAGGCACCCCACTCCACCTCATATAAAGCCCTTTGTATATATGACTCCTCTCTCACAGGAGGGCAGAAACTACATATATCCATATATATACATATATATTTTTTTCTTTTCCCCCTGTAAAGTAGCAGTAACCATCTTGTGACCCAAATATATGCTCTATTAATATCTGCTGACTCATTGAACCTTACCAGTCTAATTAATTGTCAAATTTACAAAATATGAAACTGAGTTGTACTAAAGATATTACTTTTTCTTAAAATTAAGCTGAATAATAAATAAACCTGGTTAAAAAATGGGCAATAAGTGATTCTCCAAAGATTATAAATGGCCAAAAAGCACATGAAAAGATCCTTACCATCACTAATCATTACGGAAAAGCAAATCAAAACCAAAATGAAACACACTCATTAGGCTGCTACTATTAAAAAAACACACAAAAATAACAAATGTTTGCAAGGATGTGGAGAGACTGGAGCCTTCTGTGCAAATGCTGGAATGTAAAATGGTACAGCTGTTGTTGAAAACCTTTTAAAAATTAAATACAGAATGACCATATAATCCAGCAAATCCACTTCTGGATAAACACCCAAAGGAACTGAAAGCAGGAATGTGAACAGATATTTGTAAACCGATGTTCAGAAGAGCATTAATCACAAGAGCCAAAAGGTGAAAACAACTCAAACACTCACAATAGATGACTGGATAAACAAAATGTGGTCTATATGTACAAGGGGACATTACCATCGAGACTAAAGAAGAAAGAAATGCTGATTCATGCCTAGACACAGATACACCTTGAAGACGCTGTGCTAAGTGAAAGAAGCCAGACACAAACAGACAAATACTATGTGATTCTGCTCAGATTCATAAAGACAGACAAGCAGAACAGAGGCAACCAGGGAATGTAGGGAGGGGCAGTGGGGAGTTATCTTTTAGAGTGCAGAGTTTGTTTGGGGTGATGAAAAGTCATGCAGATGGATGGTGATGATGGTTGTACCACAGTGTGAATCTACTTAATGCCACTGAATTATATACCATTGTGATTAACTAAACAACAACAACAACAAACCCTCCCCCAAAACAAAAAATTGAGTTAGGTTAAATAAGCATTGGGCTTCCCTGGCGCTTCAGCTGGGAAAGAATCTGCCTGCAATGTGGGAAACCTGGGTTCGACCCCTCGGTTGGGAAAATCCCCTGGAGAAGGAAATGGCAACCCACTGCAGTATTCTTGTCTGGAGAATCCCCATGGACAGAAGAGCCTGGGGACAACAGTCGATGGGGTCACAAAGAGTCAGACACGATTGACTGACTAAGCACAGCACAGAAATAAGCATCATGTAGACTATGAAGGAAAAGAGCAAATATGACCCAGCTCAAAAGATAAATTCCACCAGATACTGGTGTCCCCCTGAATACCCTATCGATCTTTATTTTTTTTTCCTATCCATCTTTAAACCTCCATGACTAAAACCTAGTGCACCGCACATGACAAGCGGCACATGCATCTGGTGGAAGAACACGAGGCCCTCGAGAAAAGAGAATACCAAGGATGGATACAAATACCTGACTGTGGGCCATCCCAGGGCTTGACACACTACAGCCTGAGGGCCAGACCCAGTCTACTGCCTGCTTTCGTAAATGAGATCGAACCGGCACACAGCCGGGCTCATTAGCTTACGTATTTTAAGTCTGTGGCTGCTTCCTCAGTCCGACAGCACAGTTAAGTGAAGTGGTGACAGACACATGGCCCACAAAGTCTAAAATACTCGCTATGTGGCCCTTTACAGAAAAGGCTGGTCAGCTCCTGCTCGGTACCACACCCTTTAGAAGGGAAGGCAATTGCTACTGAGTGTCTACTAACACATTTATACTTTACCAGGTGCTAAGGAGATAGCTGGAGGAGGAAATGGCAACCCACTCCAGTACTCTTGCCTGGAAAATCCCATGGATGGAGGAGCCTGGTAGGCTACAGTCCATGGAGTCGCAAAGAGTCAGACACGACTGAGTGACTTCGCTTCACTCACTTCATACTTTATCGCTGGAGAAGGAAATGGCAACCCACTCCAGTGTTTTTGCCTGGAGAATCCCATGGACAGAGGAGCACCTGGCGGGCCATGGTCCACAGGGTCGCAGGGAGACGAACACAACTGAAGTGACTGAGCACGCACGCAGAAAGGAGGTAGCTGAGTAAGTCTCGTCTCTATTCTCAGAAAATCTTAATACAGCAGGTAAGACAAAAAGTATATACCCCAGCGAACACAGTGGGCTATGACAGAAAAACAAACACTACTGCCATAGCACATGAAGAACCACTGAGTGGAGAAGGAGTCAGGGAGAAGTTAATGTTTACCATGTGAAGCATTTCAGTAAAAAATGAGCCTTTCCTCAAAAGACAGAATCAGCTCTTCACAGGCAAATAAGAAAAAACAGTTTCTAAGAAAAAAAATCAATCAACCATTAAACAAAACAAAAAGAGATGAAAATGACAACTAGAAAAAATAACTCACAATCCTGTACCTTTTAAGATAGTCATCGACATTCCACCCAAACTTTCAAGTTCTAAGATACCTGTCCACATGGCTCACCTTGATTTGGAAGATGCTGCTCCTGAACTACAGGCTCCTTTATTCAGATTAAATGTAACTGGAAGACAAGAACTGGTATTCAATATATATTTGGGGAAAATTCTAGTAAAAACCAGGTAAATACCACAAAGAAGTCACACAGAAATTCATGGACATTTTGAATAAATGAGAGCTGGAATGCTCCTAGCCAGAGATCATAAACTCCTGTAAAATATAATGAAGTGGTGCTTACAGAGCAGGGAGAGACCTTCCCTGCATACAGCATGTGGCCTTGGCCCCTTCCCCACTCCGCCTCCCCTCTCCCCTTGGTAACAGGAATCCCATTTTGTTTGCGTGTCTGTAGGCCTCACACATAGCTTGGGGGATGCTATGGTCTGAAGGGGTGTGTCCCCTCCCAAATCCAAAGGTTGAAAACCTAACACCCAAGGGGACGGGACTAAGAGGTGGGACCTGTGGGAGGAGATAAATACAGTTCTTTGGTCTAAACCAATCAAAATCATTCCATTTCCTTTCCCAGTGACTGATTTTGAGGTGGACACGAGATACAGTCTGGCCAACGACATACAAAAGGAAGTCTGCTGCTAGGAAGAAGGTCTTCTAGGAAAAGCTTACTTGCTCATAGGGGACTCCAGGAGAGAAACAGGCTCTCTGTTCTCCTCTGGACAGGCTGGGTCTGCATATGATGGCTGGAGTGCTGGCAGCCACCTTGTGTCCAGCTGCTGACAGTGTGACATCCGGAACCACCCTATCTCTGGGAGTCGGAGTCTTGGTATGGCAAAGGATTTCCTTACCGTTTAGGCTAATTTTACTCAGTCTGGTTATTTGTTGCTGAAGGCATTCCATCTAATTCACTGTTATCACCTTTTCATTTTACTAATGAGAATAAAGCAGTCCAGGTAGACAATATGTCCTGTTCCCAAACATGCTGCTAGTTTTTGGCAGGGCCAAGATAAAAGCATCCATTTTCAAACAGGAAGAAAAGTACCTTTTTCTTCGTCATTTTCTCTGCTTAATTCCGTAAAAACAGGGACTTCCTTAAAAAAAAAAAACAAAGAATTTGAAGGTTTGGTTCACAGTGCATTTACTAACACTATTTAATAGCCGTAAATTATAACTTGCTATCTAAAACAGTTAAGGTACCACATAAGAGATTACATGTATTGTAAATATCTTCCAATAAAGACACTGTATGGGGGATGGGCAAGGAGCTGGAAACAAGCCACATGCTTCTCAACAGGAGAATAGATAAACAAACTGTTATATTCATAAAATGAAATGTTATACATCAGTCAAAAAGAGAACGAAGCACTAACAGGAAAGGACATGGTGGACGACACACACAGAATGTTATGCTGAGCTAAGAAAGCCAGACACAAAGAGAACATACCATCAATAAAAATAAATGAATGCATCAATACATAGACAAAAAAGACAACACACTGATGATTCCATTCCAGAGTTCAAAGACAGGTTAAACCAACCAACAATTAATAACAGTGTGTTGGAACAGTGCTTCCTTCTCTGGGGACAAGGGGTGCTGGTTAGGAATGGGCATGAGGGACCCTTCGAGGATACTGGAAATGCTTAATATTTCATCTGGGTGGTAGCCACATGGACTACCTACTTATCTATAGGTCGATCAACCCATCCATTCGTCTAAAGACACATACGTAAGTAAAAGTTGATGGAAGTGTAACCTGAAGATTCATGCATGCCATACACTTTCCGTATGCTACATCACAATAAGAAGCTTTTAACAATACTCAATGGCTAGTAGTTTCACATACACACTAGGCTACATTTTCCTGCTCTCACACATGTCTAGTATACAAGCTCCTTGAAGGCAGGGATTTTCATCTCCTCTCCACTACTGTATCCCCAGTGCCTATAAGAATGCCTGGCACACAGAGGTGACCAATAACTATCTGCGAAAATAAACGCCTTGATCTAGTTATTCTAACACCTGAAACAATTTTATCATGCCTTCCCTCCCCTGTTCACCTGAGTTTGACCCAGTAATTCCTCAAGACTCCTCAGCCTGGGGGCTGTATCTACCTTTAAATATTCTTGTGTCGCCCCAGGCTGGAGCAAGTGCCGGCCCTCTGTGTTCCCACATACTGTGGTCTTCCCCAGCACTGCATTAGCTACAATTGGTTGAACTGACCTGTTCATGTCTTCAGCTTTAGGTGCTGACTCTATTTTAGGGGTGAGGAAACAGGTTTAGAAGATTACATTATTACATAAGCATGTGAAGTCAGGAAGTCAGGAAGTGACCCAGGTTTTTCTCCACTCCACAACCTGGGCTTTTATACCAGGCCACGTGCTTTATCCTACAAAATGCGGTTCAAGGCATAACCAAATAAGTGACTGCTTCTTCAGACCTCTGTCTACTGCATCTCCGGATGATGCCCACCTGCTCTTTCCCTTCCAGACCTCTTCTCACTTGTTCTTGAATAAATTTGGCGGTTTTTTCTTCATCATCCAGGTCCTGCTTCTTCTTTTTCTCTAGTTCCAGCTGCCGGCGGATTGTTTCAGGGTCCCTATCTATATACTGAATATACCAGCCTTTTGGTGTCTCATCCACTTTGCACAAACCTTAAAAAAGTAACGGATACTCTTAATTTTGTACACAATCAAAGCTGAAAGAAAATACAAATGTGATCTGTCTGCAGTAATTACTCACTCATTCAAGTACACTCATTCAAACATGTTCAAATACACAAATTCATACAGTATGTGAACTTTCCATATTTACAGTTACTGACATTTAGATTTTAATTGGAATACTTTCTAATATTTTTAAATAGAAAAAAATATTATTTTGGTTTCTGATTAGGTTGCGCCAACACATTTGGGAAACATTAAAATTGATTATCCTGCTTAGTTTTTATTCAACTGTGTCTAAGCATTTAACATCCACTGAGTACATGATATTCCTCCTGACTTCACTAGCAGAAAACTTCCCCAGAAAATGGAATAAAGGAACACACTAAATAAGTAATACAATGATAAAAAAAAAGTCTTCCTCTTTTCTTTTCCCGAATGGTCTATCCTATTAGAAATGGGAAAAGAGGCAGCAAATTTAAAATTTGCCTCAACAAGAGTTTGTTAAAGTGAAATGAATGTGGGGGAAAAAACTGGAAGAGGACAGGTACTGACTGATATTCAACCTAGCGAGTGGATGCGTCAGTGATAAATCTTGGCATGATCAAGAAAACAGCTCCAGACGCCCTTACACACCCGCAGTGCACAAAAGCAACCCTGGAGGAGGCACTCCTCTCCACTAGTTTCTAACTGCCCTACTCAATCTCTTTTCCGTAAATTTACACAGAAAGTGGACAGAGAAGTCTGGCGGGCTACCATCTACGGGGTCACAAAGGGTCAGATACAACTGAGCGCCTGGCACACAGAATACAGGACCATCTTCTCCCTGCCCACAATGCGGCCATGTAGCAACCGCTCACATCACCTCTTGTTCTCACCTTCTCTGCCCAGCCACTTGGTGAAATCCGTCAGTGTCTCCCACTGCGTGGCGTTCATGTGGATGTGCTCCCGGTGGCTGATGTACTCATTGTAAACAATGTTGTTGTGAACCCTCTTGGTGCCTGAGAACAAAATACAACAGGGCAGACCCTGAGCAGATTATAAGACTACAAAGTCACTGTGTGCACAAGACTTAAGGTGCTTACCAAAGCGTCTCCTGAGAAGTTCTAGGAAGTCATTTCGGAATTCCCTAATAAAGCAAGAAGGGAAAGCATTAAGGTAATTTCTACAAATATACAGCATCATCTTCCTGAAATAAAAGCCACCATACAGTTTGCATGAGCAAATGATATACGGAATATCTACGTGAACATCTGTTGTGAACCTTTAAACACTGAACAAGGGAAGAATCCTGAAAGATCATAGCTTTCAAGAATTCAAGTTAAAAGCTGGTTTGGAGCTGAAACTTTGTCTTGGAGAAGCAGGCACAAAGTGACCATGGGTCTCTGGAGAGGGTTCTTCATGAAGTTTCACTGCTTCATGAAGTCTCAGTGAATGTGTGTAGTAACCCCATTCTATCAATAACAAAACTGCCCTTTCCATGTGAAGTTGCCACTTAACGTGCCCCTCTGAGCTAAGCACAATGTTAAGCGCCGGACAAACAAGGTGAGTTAAGATATAAATCCTCACTGAGGTCACAACCTAGCAGAACCATCATAACCACAACAGAAGTGAAACCGTTGCTTGGCTAAGCTAACCTGAAAAAGAGATGTAATAAGATATCACAGGAAGCCATGAGGGAGATGCCGGGAGGCAGAGGCAATCTTCAATCTGGGTGGTGAAGGACAAATAGAATTTTTACAGATGAAAAGGAAAAGAAGGCTGCTCCCAACCCCAACCAGCACAGAAACATGAAAGCATCACTTGGTATTAGAGAAATGACAGACAGGTAGACAATAGTTATTTCATATGAAGTATTCAGTACATATTCTTCTCAAAAATAAACAAAATGAGCCTGTTACATCAAGGAAAACAAGTGACAATATTTGTTGCCAATATAAAATCTGAGCTTCCAAGTGAAAAGGGAAATTTTGGTAAGCTAGTATCCACCACCATGAATTTGACAAATTTCCTAATACTTAAAGGTGTTTCTGACAGCACTGACTGGCATTAATGAGTATGATGTTATGACATTGCACAATACAATGTATCACTGTTAGGAATATCAGAATACCTGTGTACTGAAATAATAATAATAACTAACAGCTAATATTAATCAAGTAATGGGCACTCTTTTAAACACTTTAAAAATATGAATTCATTTAATCTTCACATATGTGAGAATTGGACCATAAAGAAAGCTGAGCACTGAAGAATCAATTCTTTTGAAAAAGACTCTGATGCTGGGAAAGACTGAAGGCAGGAGGAGAAGGTGACACCAGAGGATGAGATGGTTGGATGCCATCACCGACTCGATGGACATGAGTTTGAGCAAGCTTAGGGAGTTGGAGAAGGACAGGGAAGCTTGGCATGCTGCAGTCCATGGGGTCGCAAAGAGTCGGACATGACTAAGCAACTGAACTGAACTGAATCTTCACATAAACCCTATGAAGGAAAGACAATACTTGAGAAGATACAATATCTACAGACAAACTCGGTAAGTTCAGCCAGTCACTCAGCTCCTGAGTGGAGCCAGGTCTGAAGGACTGAAAAGTCAGGCGGTCTGATTCCAGAGCTATGCTCTCAGCCACAGCTGTTTTAGAATGAAAGACAGTGTTTCATTATGTCTGATGTGGAAGGAAGGAAAGACTGAATCATGAGAAATCCTTTTTTTTCCTTAACAATTCCACACAATGGTAAGTTGTCAAAAGAAGACAAAAATGGAGCGTGAAGTTAATGCAGCTATCACATTAATTTGTAAGGAATAATCAGAGCCTCCAATATATAAAATACTAAGCATCTCTTTAATGTCCAACTGAATAAAGCTTATGAGATAAGGATGGTGTTGAGTTACTTACTCTGAAAAATAATCCATAAATTGCTGAGGATTTTCTGAAGCCAGCAACAGCTGTCTCTGATGAGATTCAGACATACAATGACACTTAAAGCCATTCTATAAAAATGCAAAGGCAGTAGTTAAATTCTGATTTAGGTCATTAAAAGTATTTAATTAAATTAACAATAAATAATAATTTAATAAATAGAAAACAACAATTTAATAAGTAACATTAATAACACTTATTAATAAATAAGCAATTAAATCATAAACAATTGCTCTTTGATGATAAATTATAAAAAATAATTAAGTCACCGGCTGTAGCACCCTGTTGTTTAAAAAAAAAAAACTTTATAAAGCTGAGTTTTGCAACCTTGCTAATCAAAGAAGAATCCCAGAAGATTAAAGAGACAGAAAAATGGCGCTTTAGAAAACAGACATCAGTAAGAAATATTACAGGGCACAGAAATGAAGAGTGATTTCATGTTTTGACTCTAACAAATTGCTACTGGGCACCTACTTCATACAAAGTGTTAAGCAAGCATTTTGAGGCATATAATGAAGTAAAATAGGTCAGTAGTGAATTTCCATTAGGAAAAGTACTATATTGTCACTCACTTTCCTATACTTTACTCCTATACTTTAGCTCATTACCCAAAAGACACTATTTCCTAACATACATAATCTTTATCACACTAAATCTGTATATTCTTCAGATGATTTAAAAAAAAAATACAAGTTTTGACTTTGCATCTATGCTGCTTAAGATGATTTAAAAAAAAAAATACAAGTTTTGACTTTGCATCTATGCTGCTTAACATCTGAACCTAATTCTTCACTAGTAAGAGACATGAAAAAGTGCCTCTCCTCTGCCTCCCCACCTCGGGAACAGCGCCGTCCTGACCTGCACCCGGTCCAGGATGCAGGACGGCCGAGGCCCAGAGGCCTCCACCTCCACAGCGCTGTGTCTGCTCAGCCCTCCTAAAGACTCGCCGGGTCCCTCTGCTCAACCCCCTTCCCACTGTCCTGAGTCCAACTTCAACCTTGCTTAGAGCAGCTTCCTAATCTTTTGTCATCCACACAAGCCTACACAATTTTTGCCAGAACGCACTTTACAGAAACTACAAGGGTTAGAGAAAGAAGACAAAAGACAACCACAAGAAAACATATGGTTAAAACGGAATCCTCCAGGATCACTACTGGCCTAGTCTCTTCAAGTGAATGTCAAGAAAAAAAAATAGGGGAAAGGAAAGGTGCTATGTCTCAAATTTAAAACTGAGAGAGAATGAAAACTCCTAATATACCACACCACTGAGAATTTTAGGGCAGTGAAACTATTCTGTATGACACTATAATGGTGGATATTAGTCACTATATGTTTGTCCAAACCCACAGAATGCTCAACACCAAGAGTGAACTCTAATACAAAATATGCACTTTGGTGCTAATGATGCACGAATCGCCTCACTGACTGTCACAGAAGTACTATTCTGTTGCACCATGCTGACGATCTGGAAGGCTATACGTATTGAGGGCAGGGTGGGTAAGAGATCTTTGTACCTTTCAAAAAATGTACTTCATTTTTGCTGTGAACCTGAAACTGCTCGAAAAATTAGTCTACTTTTTAAAAAAGTTCTAATAACTAAATCCAATGTATTGCTTTTGACTGGATCTTGGTTTGAAAAATAACTGGGGGTTTTTTTTTGCTTTTATTTTTATTTTATTGAGGTATAGTTGATTTACAATGTGTTAATTTCCACTGTGTAGCAAAGTGATTCAGTTATACACACACTTACATTCTTTTCCATTATGGTTTATCACAGGACACTGAATACATTTCCTTATGCCAAAAAAAAAAAAAAAAAAAAAAAAAGAAGGGGATATGTGTATAGCATTCTTGGGGTCGCTTTCTCCCACAGGGTTAGTGCTCGCTGGGACTCTCTCCATACGGAGTGGACTGTACTTCTGCCTGGCAGTTGCATCACNTGTATGGATGTGAGAGTTGGACTATAAAGAAAGCTGAGCGCCAAAGAATTGATGCTTTTGAACTGTGGTGTTGGAGATGACTCCTGAGAGTCCCTTGGACTGCAAGGAGATCCAACCAGTCCATCCTAAAGGAAATCAGTTCGGAATATTCATTGGAAGAACTGATACTGAAGCTGAAACTCCAATACTTTGGTCATCTGATGCAAAGATCTGACTGGAAAAGACCCTGATGCTGGGAAAGATTGAAGGCAGGAGAAGGAGACAATAGAGGATGAGATGGTTGGATGGCATCACCGACTCAATGGACATGAGTTCAAGTAAACTCTGGGAGTTAGTGATGGACAGGGAGGACTGGTGTGCTGCAGTCCATGGGGCCGCAAAGAGATGGACATGACTAAGCGACTTAATTGAACTGATTTAAACATTTAGAAGTGAAATATCCTGATGTTTGTAATTTACTTTAAAATATCTCAGAGACAAGGACACAGCAAAATACTTAAAATGTTAAATCTGGGTAAAGGGTATATGGATTTCCCTGTACTAGTTTTCTGTGTGAGAATTTTACCGTGAGTAGTAGTAGAGAACTAAAGAGAAATGAAAGAGAAAAACTGTTATCAGTGTCATTCAACGTGAGTCCCACCTAAAGTATCTCATCCCTTACTTGCAGAAACACCGGATTACATTATTCCAAGTGTCCAGTGTTCTTCCTTTCTTACCCAATTCAACATCCAGAGAAAAATAGGATCCCGTCACTAGCCTGCTGTCAATTTTTCCAGGTGCTTTTATTATCCACCTAAATAATGGGAAAAAAGTGCTCCACAGCACAGTCTACAAAGCTTCTCAATATCTGCCCCTCAACCACTTTGCAAATAATTCACTCATTTAAAACTCAAACAGTCTCACAAGAACGGACAATTACTAGTCCATTTTCAAATATGTAAACAGGTGGAGAGAAAGCAAGTGGGAACATAGCTCCGCCTCCTGGTTCTGACTCCAGAGTCCACATCTCACCCGCAGAAAACATCCCAGACCTGGCACGTCGCAGGCGCTCGACAAAGGCTTGTTAGGTGACTAGCTTGCAAGGGCTTAGTTCTGGTCTGTACCCTGATGATGTCTCAGAGCCAAGCCAAGTCTGAGACGGGTGTTGTTATTTCAGGGCGTCCAGCGCCGCAAGGCTCATCCAGTGTTTCNGGGGGGGGGGGGGGGGTGGTTTGGAAAACCTTTTCATTCTTTATTCCTTTTGGGGTTATAACCTTTTCATTCTTTATTCCTTTTGGGGTGATTGAACTGGGGAGGAAGGAGGTGTCCAAAGCCGGCTTCCCCGCCAGGACGGGGGATTGAAGGGAAGGACAGCCCTACTGAGTGGAGTCCCCGGCTCACCCTGAGCAGCCCCCAAGCCTGGGATCGGGAGACCCAGGCCGTCGCCGCGGCGTCGGGCACCTCAGCCTGCATCCCCAGTGGGGTCCCGCTGGAGAGGCGCGGGGAGCCACCCCGCGCCCGCTTACCTCGTCCCGGCACTGTTTCTGGCACATCTGGCAATACCAGCGCAGCTTCTGAAGCCCCTTAGACTTGATCCTGTTGGCGATAGCCTTCGGGGTGAGAAAATCTGACTTCCCCATCGCTACCACCACAACAACCTTCCGGGGCCAGCGCCCAGACGACCGGAAGCGGAACAAGGCGAACGAGAGTGGGCGGGACAAATACCAACCGCCAGTTGGAAGGAGGTGGGGCCTCGGGAAGCCGGGTCCTAGACGCTCGCGAGGCTTCCCTCAGTCCGGCGGGAAGAAGCGAGACTCAGGGAGACAGCGGGGTGGGCGGGGCGCGAAACGCAGCTTCCGCGCACGCGCGGCGAGGCCTGTCTGACCGACCTTCAGCAGGGCCGGCGCCACCATGTTCTCTCGGGCGGGCGTCGCAGGCCTCTCGGCCTGGACTGTGCAGCCACAATGGTAATGGCAGGTCGCAGCGGGAACGGGAGGGTTGCGAGGGATGGGAGAGCGCGGGTAGGGCAAGCGAGTGGGGAGGCGAGTGGGACGGAACCAGGGTCTCAGGCCTGGACAGGCCCCGGTCCCGCGGAGACCCGGGCAGCCCGGCTGCAAGAATCGCTCGGAACCGAGAAGGGCGCGTGAGGGGCAGCAGAGACTGCGAGGTGGCGCCTCGTCTCCTGAGACGGGCCGGGGCGGGGTGAGGGCCGAGAGGACTGGTCATCAGGGACCTCGGGAGTGGACCTTGGGCCCAGTCAATTGCAGAGTGGCCTTGGATCCCCTCAGCGACTAATTAGCTGATTAGGAAGCCTCTGCTGCTTGCCAGGCGACGGGCCTCGGGCTGGGGAGGTCCCCAGGGGAGGTCCCCAGGGAAGGTCCCGCGGAAGTTTAAGGTGTGCTTTTGTCCTTGACGCCGTTTGAAATCCTGCGGTGCAGAGGGCAGTGACTCCCAACCCGTGTTGAGCACCGATTCTGCAGCAGGCGCCTTGCTGGGCACTGGTGAATGAAATAAGTGCCCTCCTCGCCTTAAAAATATTAAGGCGAGGAAGGGAAAGATACCTTCACGATCTCGAAACCGTTGTGCCGAAACAGTAGCCCTGCAAGGTCATGACATCATCGTAAGGTCCCCAGGAGGAGGAGATAGGCGGATTTGTAAGCGTCATCTGTTCATTGCTGTGCAAGTTTTGGGGATTTTAATAAACGTTGGTTTCTCCTCCACCACCAGAAAAAGGCATGTTAGAAGGCCTGGCAATAGCAGATAAACGTTGGTTTGAGGTGGTGCTCTGTAGTAGGATGAAATGTTTTGAAGCTAGGCAGTCTGGAAAGATTGCATATAGGGTGCTAAGGGGATTGTTAGCTGTCGGCTGTGTGTTTTAGCAATTACTTGGTTTTACAGTATAGGAGAATTCTAAGAACCACAGCACTAGATGTTTGTATCCTAATTTATGAGAAGGGACGCTAATGCATTAATTAAAATAGGTATGTTTTCATTAAGCAAATAATTGATAACAGATTTTCAGGGTAATGAAGTAATTAAATTTGATATGAAAAACCTACACACAGATGTTAGTGCGTTTGCCGTGGAAGTCAAATTTTCTTTCCCCTTATGTTGAAGAGTATTCATGGGGATTAAGGAGTCACCTTAGTTGGAGTCTCACTCATAGGTTGTCCCATTTCTTCATCACTCAGCACACATTTGTTGGGTGCTTGCCCAGCACCAAGTTGACACTGGGCAAAGTGCTAAGATGTGGTGAAGAACAGACAGACATGGTCCTGATGAAGCTTGTAGGACCGTGTGTCTGACAGGCAGCAGTGGTCCACAATGTCAACTCTACTTCCTTCCTTCCTTCCCATCTTGCTGTGCATGAATGTAACATGTAAATATTTTTAGAACTTTAAGTCAGCCAAGTTGATCTTTTAAAAATGGACAGTTTCTGAAATGAGTACAAAATGTTTTACCTTTAACTGTACAAAATCACACGAGAAGGCAATGGCAACCCACTCCAGTACTCTTGCCTGGAGAATCCCAGGGACAGCGGAGCCTGGTGGGCTGCCGTCTGTGGGGTCACACAGAGTCGGACACGACTGAAGCGACTTAGCAGCAGCAGCAGTACAAAATCACTTTTTAAAAACCTGTAAGGTCACTTGAGGATCCTTTAGTAAAGGATCATTTGAGTGTGCTCTCTGTCTGAGATGGAGAAGGAAATGGCAACCCACTCCAGTACTCTTGCCTGGAAGACCCCATGGACCTAGGGGCTGCAGAGTCAGATAGGACTGAGCGACTTCACTTTCACTTTCTGTCTAAGATAACTACTGTGGGGGGCAGGGAGCTTAAACTGGAAGCTCAATCAGCAAATACATGTGTAAGTCCTGACCTTCATCAAATTGGTAGGTTGTGAATATTCATCAGATATCAGTGTTCCACCTTGCAGAGCAGACTCTGTCCTCTTCGTTTTTTTGGTTGGACATATTCCATCACTCTGGGTGCCTGGTGTCTGTTTTGCTCCTGCCATTTCTTAGTCACTGTAATCACCTTTTGAATTCAGCAATTAAAGCCATCTTAATGTTTCATACTCCACAGAATTAACCTGAAAAGGAAGTACACCTTTGCCTTTATAGAATCAGGAAGAGGCATGTCCTTGGTTCTGTTTTGGTTAATGTGCAGTTTGTCATTGTTCCAGAGATGTTAGCACGAATATTACAAAGGAAATGGCAACCCACTCCAATGTTCTTGCCGGGAGAATCCCAGGGATGGGGGAGCCTGGTGGGCTGCTGTCTATGGGGTCGCACAGAGTCGGACACGACTGAAGCGACTTAGCAGCAGCAGCAAGTTAAAATTATTTTTAATTGCTTAAGGTGTCAGTAAAATACCAACTAAATTTTTGAAAATTAAACCTTTTTTTAAAAGCTCATTTAAGAAAATGGAAATAAGAAATTTGGTGGGGAGGGAGTTTCTGATTTTTCTGTGTCAGAGGGAAAATATGTTTCTATTTCTCAGAGTTCCACATTCTCTAAGATGGAACTATTTTATAATAGGAAACCAATGGCCATAAGTGGAAATGTAGATGTTGAAAAGGAAGGGAGAAGGCGTTTCAGGGGAGAGAAGGCAGGCTTTCATCTGAAACTGAGATAGCAGATATTTACTTTTAAATGTAAAAAGCATGAGGCATCAGTGTGTAGTGTACCAGATGGAGTGGTGCCAAACTGCCCGGGTTTGAATCTTGACTACCCTCAGGTTTGAATCCTGACTACCTCGCTGTGCAGGTTACTGAATGTCTCTACCATTTCCTCATCTGTTAAATGGGGGTAATGTAGTGCCCCATTAATTGGATAGGTGTGAGGATTAAATGAGTCAGTATTTGTAAAGAAGTGAGGGGAGAGGGAGAAATGCTTCTGGGGACCCAGATGTATCCACTGAAAAATGAAAATGAATTTATACATACATGTTCTATCTGTATAAACTAATGTGAGAAGGTAGAAGCCTAACAAGGATGGATCGTGGATGGTAGTAAAGTTCTGGAAGTCATTTGGTGGAGAGCCAGGGGTTGGACTTTAACCCTGGCATTCAGTATTCAAATTGCAGATACTTCATAATTTGTTAGTCAGCATTATATGCTCCTTAAAACTCTTCCAAGCTGTCTGCAGTGAATCTCGCAGACCCCATCCTGTACTGACTGGCTCCTTCAGTTTTTCTCACACTGCTGTGTGATCACAGGAGATCATGGCAGTCCCCTGTCTGTCTGTGCAATTTGCCCTCCATTGTACCGGATAAGTTTCCGGTCTCTTGGATAATCTCCCGACGATTTCTCAGGACACGAGACAATTTTCTGGGACACACAGCTGATTCAGAACTTCCTTTATCTTTTCGTTTGCAAAAACTATATTCAGCGGAGCAAGCTCTCCCTAAAGAGAGCTCAGATCAGCTCTTTTTATTTTGTTTCTCTATTTTAATTTTTTTGGGGGGGGGGCATCAACCATCATGTCTGTGGATAGTTGCAAATCTGTCTCTAATCTCGAAATATCTCATATTTTCCCCAGATCTGGAACACATTTCCAGCTGGTCCTCTAGTATTTTGTGCAATATCGCATTCAAAACTCATTATCACAAATGCGAATCCCTCCTACCTAGCTTTTCTGTTTTGGTTAAATGACAACACTGTCCACTCAGGTCATTAAATTAGAAACCTTTGGGTCAGTTTGTTCTCAGATCTAGTCTCCCATTGCTTTGCCAACCTCTCAGTCCAGGTTCTTGCCTTCTTGTGTCTGGAAACTGCAAGCAGCTGCCTCTGTGGCCTCTGTGTCATCAAGATTCAATATCATTTTGTGCTTTTCATTGCCATCTGAGGTACTTTACTGAAAAACTAAAGTTTCATCATTTCCCCACTACCTATAAAATAGTATTTAAACGTACTAACCCAAGCCGTGTCTCCAGTTTCAAAACTGGAGTTCCTTGGAATGCCCTAAGGCCTTCCTTTATGCATAATGTATAGATTCCTCAGTTCTCCCTTGGTGCTTTTCAGGCCAACAGGTGCTTGATGGATTTAAGAGCTGAAAGATGCTGTATGTTCGATAACATGTTGTCTTTACCAGTAAGGGGAAGATCCTCTCATATTTAACTGTTACTATTTTTGACTTTTATGTGTTAGTGCTTTGAAGACTAGAAAAATATTTAATGTAAAATTTATATCAGTCTTAAAGTTTGCATGAATATTGTTTATGAGATAATAGTATGCTTCTTGTGATCAGAGACCAAGTCGGGGAGCAGAGTACCTGCTCCATAAAAGCTCACTGGATTGAGTTGGAACAGTTAAGAATTGGTTTAAATTCTACTTTGACATATGTGGTTATGTTAGAATGTATGATGACCCTAAAGTGTTTTGTTATTTATTGGTGAAATGAGGAAGTCAGGAACTTGCTTGGGAACTGAGCGGTGCTTTTTAGAAGTGGTTCACCTTGAGTTTAAGTATAACTGGATAGCCTGACAAGGGGAAGGCCTTGTCTGTCATGGAAACAATACAGGCTAAGACATAGAGTCGGAAATAGAGCCTGTGTGAATGCCATGTGACCTCAGTGGAAGCTAGGTTAGGGCAACTAGAATGAGACCTTTGAAACAGGGCTTGGTATCCTTATTAGGGGGTTTATATATATCCATATATATTCAGAATCTTATATTTGATAGATTGTTTTTTTATGGGCCACTCTGTAAGTCCTTATATTAACTTTGGAAGTTTCTGGAGCTTTTTTCCCAAAAAATGGAGCTTTTTCCCAAAAAACTAAAAAAAATTTTTTGCCATCTTTATTTTCAGGATCCAAGTTCGAAACATGGCAACTTTGAAAGATAGTAAGTACTTTATCTCAATATGTGAATTAAGAAAAGCTAAATTTTGCCAAATAAAAATACTTTTGAAAGTGTGCTCTTTAGTCCATTTACATAATTGGTTAAAATGGACAATGAATTTATGTCTTGTGTCTGTGGCTTTGAAAAAAACCACTGTGAGGTGACACATGGTGGTTGTGCTTGTGTTGTGTATGGAATGATGATAATTAGAAAACACTGTACTCTGTGTGGTGTGTAAAATGTTACGGAACTTGTTTCTGATTGAAAGCCATTTTCAATACCATTTAACATTTTACATGCATAATTTACTGTTACATTGCTGTTTTTGCTTGCTGTCCAGATAGAGCAAGGTGTGACTTTCTGGTACTCTATTATTAATTCTAATATTAAGCCTATTTTGGCAGATGGTCTAACTGCTAGTTATTCTACCTTGCAGTTTAGGAAAATATTTCCATAAATTCACAAATGAAATCATAACTCCTTTATCTTAACACAGCACTTCTGATTTTCAGTTACCAGGCGACTAAAATCAATCAAAAACATCCAGAAGATTACCAAGTCTATGAAAATGGTAGCAGCAGCGAAATACGCCCGAGCTGAGAGGGAGCTGAAACCAGCCCGAGTGTATGGAGTGGGGTCCTTGGGTAAGAGGGGCGTGCAGTCAGATTGCAAAGCCTTTTAAGCTGGAGATCGCAGTCCTGAGTTCTTAGAGCACTCATCTGTCATGGCAGCCCTGTGCAGGCGAGCACTGTTGGAGTCCCCGCTTTGCAGCGGAGGAAACCCCAGCCCAGTACAGTCGTAACTACCTGCGTGGCTTGGCATCCGAGCTGTCTCTGTGTTCCTCACCGTGTGTGTTCACCTCCCTTTTAAAGTACTCTGAGAGAGTGTTCCTAGATTATTAAATATGCCATCGGAAGAACACGGGGTTTAGTGCATCAGACTCATGCTTGATTTTATCCTGTTACAGTGTTTTAGGACTGCAGGCTAAAGTGGGGGTACCCTGCAGTGGAATTTGACTGAGCAGTCAGAGGTATGACTGAGTACATGGACAGAGTGTTGAAAGATCAGCTATAAAGGAGGGAAAAAGATATATCTGTATTATCTGTGTGTTATACAGATAATTAATAATACACAGATTAATTAATTAATCTATGTTAGATAGAAATTACTTTCTGCAGTAGTTTTCTTGTGTTCATATTTCTTGAGCATGCATTCATACCGCTAATGAAAATTCTGTATGAGAAAATGATAGCGCACCATGCTTCATGAAAAAAGACTCCTTGGTTTGAAAATGCCATATTGGGACCTCCCTGGCAGTCCGGTGGTTAAGACTTCACCTCTGTGCAAGGGGTGCATGTTCAACCCCTGGTCAGGGAGCTTAAATCCCACATGCCCCATGGCCAAGAAACCAAAACACTGGACAGAAACAATATTGTAACAAAATCAGTGAAGACTTTTTAAAAAATAAAAATACCGTATTTAGTTTCACTTAGCATGTAAAGCAGAGACTTGTTCCGTGAGGTTTTAGCCATCTTTAACAACACTAGCTGTTTGCTCTTACGAGTCCTGTTCTCTTCCAGGTTTAATGAAGAAATTGACTTGGATATCTGATTAGAATATTTGTGGTAAAATATTAAAAATTCAAGTCATGGCTGCCAGCCAACTTCTAAGTCCTTCAAACTGAAAAAATACTAACTGCTGGATATTAAATGGCTAATCTTTAAAATACTTAAGAACTTTAAATAGGAATTTTATTTTTATGCTGTACAATATAAAATGTAAAAAGAAACTTAAAAGGAATATTCTCTTCACTTCCCTGAACTTTGGAGTTAAGTATGTACCTCTCTGCCTTTCATGGAGGGTTCTCAGGTATTGAAATTTGAGAGTCCCTGCTCTAACTGAAGAAGGGTAATAGGAATTTCATTGAGGTGGGGGGAATGTGGCAGCCACGAGGATGCAGTTTGCAACTAGAGAGCACAGCTGCTAAAACCATGCTGTGTTTGCACGCGAGACATGCTTCCCACGAGCTCCTCCTGACAGGTGGGGTGCTCAGGCTGTGTGTTCTGTGGAGACCTGGGGCTCCTGGCAGCCTCGCTGAGCTTTCCCTCAACTGCTCTGTAGGCCAGGAAGCTGCCGCCGCACCTTTCTTCCCACTGGTCAGACAGGCATCATGGTGTGATGGCGCTTCTGACCTGCTTCCTGTGCCTTCTCTCAGGCATTTTCCCAGTAAAATCCATGTGTATTCAACCCTGCTTGAATCCCTCTTGGCTTCTGCTGCTTTGAAGACCAGACCAACAAGAGTGAGACTCTTAAAAGTAACACCCAGAATAAAATGGCCTCCATTATTTTAGTGTCAGTAGTTTTCATAAAAGCTTGCTGTGCAGATTATATGAACAGTTCAGTAAATATTTACTTTCTGCTTTCTTGGTTGTACTCTGAAGATTTTAATTATTTAAAAATTTGGTAAGTCTAGATAAGTTGTCACTTCTCTTAAGTCTGGCCTCTTTACAAGCTCTTTGATTGTACTAGTGATTTCTTTTAGTCAGTCCTTAAGATAACTTGGTGTTTAGGGACCTCTTAACAGAGATTTAGACCTTTATGGTTTTCAGCCTCTGTAAATAAGTGCAAAGATACTTGATAAGTTAAGGCATCATTTTGTAAATTAGGGGTTATTGCTGTATTTAGTGTAATTACACCTTTTTTTTTTTTTTTAGCTCTTTATGAAAAGGCTGATATTAAGACTCCTGAAGACAAGAAGAAGCACCTCATTATCGGTGTGTCCTCAGACCGAGGGCTCTGTGGTGCTATTCACTCCTCGGTTGCTAAACAGATAAAAAGTGAGGCGGCCAACCTTGCAGCAGCCGGGAAAGAAGTTAAGATTATTGGAGTTGGTGATAAAATCAGGAGTATACTTCACAGGTAGTATAAATACATACTGTTTATGTAGAACGCTGCAGGCATGAGTAAAGGGCAGTTTCTTTGATAGTTTATTTAAGTAAGGTGTCTTTTTGGTTGCCATTTTATACACACGGAGAAACTTTGTTTTGTTTGGAGTTTTGTTCCAAGATATCTCAGAATGTGTAGATTTTACTTGTCATTTGCTTCTTCTTCCAAACCATAAATGGAATACAATAGGAATGTCAGAAGCTAAGGGCTTTTTTTGTTTTTTTAAATTAATGAGGACTCTGAGGAGTTGTCACGGCCTGGAAATGCCAGAAATGAATAACAGTTAATTAGAATTGGCAGGAGAGGAGTAAAAGGCAGAGAGAGATGTAAGGCGAGAAAGGCTGATTGTGAGTCCTCAGTTCTAGGCAGGCACTGAAGGACGGGTGATCATAATAAGGTAGGGGGCACCTTAGTTCAGTGAACACCGCAGTCTCCACTCAAAAAGCACTTGATTCATAGAGTATTTTTGCCTTGTTCCCTGTGCAGAAGTATTCCGCTCAGCCATTACATGTGATCTCTTCGTTTTCTCACAGGACTCATTCTGACCAGTTTCTGGTGACGTTCAAAGAAGTGGGGAGGAGACCCCCTACCTTTGGGGATGCGTCGGTCATTGCCCTTGAGCTGTTAAATTCTGGATATGAGTTTGATGAAGGGTCTATCATCTTTAACCGATTCAGGCAAGAAAACTGTTGAAATCCAAGCTTTTTCATGTTCAGATTTTTTTCAATTGAGTAAATGTCTCCTTAATAGTGTGAAATTATAATCTTGGAATTTACATTCGTTTTTGCCATTTCTAGGTCTGTCATCTCCTACAAGACAGAAGAAAAGCCCATCTTTTCCCTTGACACCATTTCAGGTGCTGGTAAGTATATTTTGTATGATGAGTATTTTTCCTATGAAACGAGAGATTTACACATTGAGTAAAACAGTATTTGTCAGGGTGGCTTTTTTTCAGCAGTAGCAAAAATGTTGAGCTGTTTCTATCACCATTTATTAGCAGCTTCCATGAAACCATAAAACATTCATTGTATAAATAAATACCCATTGGGGGCCAACCTTATATATGAAAGTCATCATTCCTTGGTGAAGCATTCTGGAAATAATACTCAGGAACCAATTTCATTTTCTCCTCCTACATATATTTCTTCTATTCTAAGAGGTACACTTTTTTTAATGTCTAAAATTGAGGTGCTTCTACCAGTCAGTAGCACATCATTTTTAATTGGCTGTGTTACTTTATTTGTTCATGGTATATAAAATAGGAGTTACGCAGTCCTCTGCATCTTAAGTCAGTGAAATGCAGCCCTGTCTCACTTTATACCCTAATGAAGACTTTTTGAATGTGCTGCTAAATTTCTGCTAATTGCTGAAATGCAAAGCAGCCTCTGACTCTGACTCGTATTCTTAGTAAAACTTGCCCTCCCTCATTGTCCTGACACTTTCAGATTTCTCCAATAACCACATGGTTGAGTTGGGATTTTTATATCACACTATACAAGTCTCATTTCTTTCCTTAATTTCTTTATTGAAAAACACGGTCCCTGACTGTCTGATAACTTAGTCCAGGACACTCTGCTAGATGTTCTCCAGAGGCCTTATACCTGTGAAATGTAGAGCTGTTACTTTAAACGTCAGCCTCTTGGATTTTATGAAGTTAAGCATTTGAAGTAGAATACCAGGTGCTTTGTTTACACATTATGTTTTACTGAAAATCTGCTATAATCTATAGTATGGAAATAGATGAAGCTTTTAGAACTGTGTCTTTTAACCAGTCTCATATTGACTTCTCTGTGATTATAAAGGATTTTTGCACCAGGAAGCTTCTTGATTAAATCAGTCTTTGCATTTCAGAGAGCATGAGTATCTACGATGACATTGATGCTGATGTGCTGCGGAATTACCAGGAATACAGCCTGGCCAACATCATCTACTACTCCCTGAAGGAATCCACCACGAGTGAGCAGAGCGCCAGGATGACGGCCATGGACAACGCCAGCAAGAATGCGTGTAAGCGCCAGCGCAGCCCTCAGGCCGTTCCTTTGCTGAGGCTGCACGGAGGCCCTCGCTCATGTCAGAGGGTGGTAGCAGTTCTGGAGGAGGAGCAGGAGAGCTGGGGTCTGGTCCTGGGCTCTGCCACTGATCCTGTGAGGATAGAAAAATTACATTTTTCACCTTAAAGGAAGTAATATCTTACTTGGTAGGAAGTAAGTGTGCAAGTACTTTAATTCTTGGAAGATACAAAAAAAATATATCTCCATAACATTTTTCAAGAGGCCAGTTATAGTACCTCAGAGGAGACAGAATCTTATTTTTGAATTAAACAACTTACATCTCATGAATGACTTAGTGAGCAAGGTATTCTTTTCTGGTTTTAGATCTTGTTGTCTAATCTTCTGTTTTGTTTGTAGCTGAAATGATTGACAAATTGACTTTGACATTCAATCGCACCCGCCAAGCTGTCATCACCAAGGAGCTGATAGAAATCATCTCTGGTGCTGCGGCTCTGTAAGTAACTTGAGTGTTGCCTTCAGCATTCTTGTCTCATAGTGCCTGCTCGTTTAACCTTGGCATGTTTATGTCCCCTTCTCCCCTCCCATTTTTTGGTCTGTTACAGAAAAAAAATGATCCATTGCTTAATCTTGTTTCCTTAATCTTAAATATAAAGATTTGATGAAAATGAGATCTCTAGAGTATTTTTGATTGTTTTAGCTGAAACATTCAGGCTTAGTTTATGAGTTACTGGTTTTCAGTTTATTTTATATAAATCTGTAAATTATTGAATGGTGGTAGGGTCAGAAAGTTTTTAACTAAGTTTTCTGTATCAGTACTATCCTTTGATAGTTCTTAAAATACCGCTTTCCTCAAGAAAATGTCTTAGATTTTTAGCTCAGGTTGTTTAGCTAGATATGTTAATGTTTGTAACCACGGTCACAGTAGTGGGAAATCTATAAAAAATGATTACATTGAACACCCATTACATGCCTCATACAGTGCTAAAGGATGGAATCCTTTGTCCCAAGGCGTTTACATCCTAATAGGATAAGAAAACATGTAGACAATTGTGCCGAAAGATAAAACGTGTAGTAAGTTATCTTTGACTCATTCTCTGTCCTCCTGCTAGTTGGTCACCAGGTTCTCTAAATCTTACTCTCTTCTAAATGTCCCTTGACTTGCTCCCCTTTATGCCCTCTGAACGCATCTTTGTCAGTTCTCTCCCAGATTAGAAAATATATTTTTTAAGTGGCACATGCTTTTTTCTGAAATGTCGTTTTTTTCCCCTGCACTCTTAATTCTCCAACCTGACTAACTTCTCTCTGTCCTTCATGACGAAGCTGGGGGACTCCTTTCCTCTAGAAGACCCTCATTTGTGGTGTGAGTGGGGCTATTTCCTGTGATTCCCTCCATCACAGTGCTTATACCATCTTACTAGGAACTGCCTTTAGGTTTGTCTGCGTCCTGTGGCTTGAGAGGGGCCGTGTCTCATTCACTTTAGGTGATTCACTTCATCACCTGGCATGCACTTCCTCAGTAAATATTTGTGGAGTGAATGGATGATGTGCCATGAGTGTATTAAGAACTGGAATTTTAGAAGAGACAGAAATAACACTTTGCTGAATATATGAACATGTGGGTCCAGGGTTAAGACTCGGGGACAGGTTCATCAGTAAGGTGACATAGGAGTTGGTCCTTTCCATCTCTGGAGGATGGAAATGGGCGGGATCCCAGAGACACACGTACACTGGCTGAGACCGTTCTGTCAGTGTTGGGTCCGCCAGCTCGGCTGTCCTAAACAGTCTTCCTTCGCTTGTTTTGCTTTCAAGCCTGCGTCTAAGCCATCTGTCCTGGTCACTGCTGCCCTGTTAGCATCAGCGTCCAGGCACTGATGAGTGGTCCTGCCACTTACCAGCTTGATGGACGTGGTTAACATGCTCTCCCTGTGACACAGTTGTTGTCTGTGACATGGGGGGGTTAAGCAGGTGTGTTATTCACGTCCTCCTTGCTGTGCCTTCTACCGCTTCTCCGGTGGCAAGTGTGCCGAGGCCTGGGGAAAGAACTGCACTCTGAAGGTCTGGGGGCTGTGAGATGCAGAGCGCCAGGGGAAAGAAGAATGGATGCTCAGAATAAATGGAGGCTACAGCCTCTGCAGCGTAGAGGACCCGGCTCTTGATTAGGAATGTGGGGACCTGACTCAAAGCAGCAAATGCAGAGAAATGAGGAGGAGATTGGGACATGGAGACTGAGAATTTTTATTAAAACAGCTCAAATAACTGGAAATTGACTATTCAATTTTCACTTTCTAGAAAGGCAGGCTAAATCCTTTATTAAAGGTTAGCTGTGCTAACCTTAATAATCCTCATGATGGATTATTTATATGAAATGAACTTGCATGCTCTGTAACCTATCAGCTCTTCTGCTTAAAGACTAGTATTTAATACAAACATATTTGGCTGTTTGGTATTAAAAGGCATGAGTAAACCGTATTTGAGGTGCCAAGTGTTAGCTGCTAGCTTAAAAAAAATTTTTTTATACTATGTATAGAAAAGTTGTGGTTTAAAGTATGCTTTCATAGTCCTGCCTACTTGCATGAACATGGTTTTATTATTTTAACCAGATTCAGGTCTGTAATGTTTCCTAAAAATTAGTGACTGTTTCAAGTATTGGTAAGTATTTATGTGATATACTCAAGGTAGTGAATGAGGAAATGGGCTTTTCTAGTTGGAAATTGTACATGATTAACCAGCATGGATTGCTTCCTGACCTGCTTGTTTTCTGTTTGTTTTTCTTCTAATATAATAACCCAGGGACTAATGAAAATCAAGTTTCATCCTCAGACAAGAGGTAAAGTGGTAATATTTCACACCCTCCCCCCATCCCATCAGAAAAGAAACCCAGTCAGAGAGAGTTGAGACTAATTCAGCAACAGGGAAACTGATTTCTTGGGAGATGAGACTGGCCGGCCATTAGTGCATCAGTCAACTTGTGGGAGCACGTGGCTGATGCTAGGGGTCTTTTGTTTTTTTTTTTTCCTTCTTAAATAAACTACAAGGATAAAGAATCAGCATTCCTTTGCAGTACTAAAAACAGGCTGGTGAAGAACAGTGGTTCTCAGACTTCCTGGTCTCAGAACCCCTTGATGTCTGACTCCACAGAAGACCGCTCAGTTCTCTCCATTTCTGCATTCATTCTGTTCTGACATTGCACGTCATGTGGGTTCTGGAAAACTGCACCGTGTACTCTTGAGAATGAGAATAAAACAGGCAAGCAGCATTGTCATAGAAATTAGTTTTGCCCTCACAGACCCCATGAAAGGGTCCCTAGACCAAAACTTGAGAACCACTAGTGTAGAGTAACAGTTATTATGTAGAGTCAGTTCTTCAAGTCCCACTGTAGATACATATTATCTCTTGACATGTGCAGTTTCCACACACACACAAAATTATTTGATTTTTATTTGTTGTATACTTTTATTTTTCAGGTAAAGAAGAATTCAGCAAGCTGATTTTGTTTTTAGCTTACTGCTGTCCTTGTCAGAAGAATTTGTTGGTCCATTGTTCAGATTACTAAAGACAGCAAGATATTTGTAAATTATCTTATACAATAAATGACTCAACATAAAATCACTGTTGTTTTTTTATTACTATATAAGAAAAACCATTTTCAAAGTGAGATCTTAAAACACTTCAAAATATTAACATACTTGTATTAAAATTTCTAAGTAAGAAGCTTGTTGAAGAGGCTCTTATGATTGTTTGGTTTCCTAACAGCCATGGAAAGCCTGGCTTCCGAGGAGTCAGAGTGGGAGGAGGAGGTGCCAGCCACACCCCCAGCCCGGGCCTCCCTGCCTGTCACCCTCAGAGACCACCAGCCCTTGAACCACCAGCGCGAGGAGCAGCGCTGTGTCCGAGAGGGTGGACGGTTCCGGGGACATACTAAGTAACTGTTTAAATCTTTACCAAGGACTGAGAAACACTTCGGCAGGATCCTCACTTCACATTCACACTGAGATAGCCATTAACTTTGGGCACCTGAGCTATTCTACAGAATGAGCTGGCCCTGCCAAAATGTTGGGATTTTTTTTTTTTCTATTTAAGAGGATTTATGGCTACAGTCCATGGGGTTGCAGAGTCAGACATGACTGAGCGACTAACACTTTAACTTTTTTAGGGGTTTTTTATTGCAAAAGTAATATAGGAATTACAAAAGATAACTATTAAAAAAATACATAAAGCCCATCGTCAACACTTTAATGTATATTACTTTTAAAACCATTAAGAAGAAGTTGCCAGAGGAAGATAAACTGAACAGAATCTCAGTGTCATTTTCTAGCTTCCCTGAAATGTTTTAAGAGCCATTTTAATTTCTGAGTTTTTGTGACACTTGTTTTCCTCTGAAAATCTGTGTTGCTCTGAAATGTTGCCATGATGATTGTTAATAAGTATCTTTGGGCAAGTCTCTGCACATTTGGATGAATGTGGCACTTTTGGGCACTTAATTGGAAGTGGGATCAATGACTCAGACTGTGTATTGGGTTGGCCAAAAAAGTTCATTTGGGTTTTTCCATAAGTTCTTAACACGGAGCATAATAAACTTTGGGGCAAATTGGGTTAGAATCCTAGTTCAGCCCTTACCAGCTGTGTGACCTTGGGTGAGTTAATCTTTCAGTTTTATCATCTGTAAAATGATTAAAATAGGACTTAGCTCATAGGGTTGTTATAAGGACTACATGAATCAATATTGGCAAAATAGAATCTGATGTGGGATGAGTGCTGTAGCTGTTTAAATGTTACCTGATACACTTAAGTGATCATCGTGTTTACTGATGTTCTGTGTGTTGGCACTCTTAAATTCTGAAGATACACTCCTCTATAGGAGCTTACAGTCTGGAGCAAAGACAGATAATGGAAAAAAAAAAAGGGGGTTTTGGGTATAGTCAAAGTGTTTGTCGCCCAGTCCTGTCCAACTCTTTGTGACCCCATGGACTGTAGCCTGCCAGGCTCCTCTGTCCATGGAATTCTCTGGGCAAGAATACTGGAATGGGAATTGCCATTCCCTTCTCCAGGGGATCTTCCTGACCTGGGGATCAAACCCATGTCTTCTGCATCACAGGTAGATTCTTTATCATCTGAGGCACCAGGTAAAAAAATCCCCCAATGAGGACTTCCTTGATGATCCAGAGGTTAAGACTACATGGTTCCACTGCAGGGGACGAGGGTTCCACCTCTGGTTGGGAAACTAAGATCCCACGTGTCCCGTGGCGCCCCCCCCCCAAAAAGACTTGACAATCAGGCTTTATTAAAATTATCAAAATACTGAGAACATTTGCAATACAAATAAAATTTGAATATAGTGTATTTTTTTAAACATCCACAAGTCAGGCAAAACCCATGTTTTAAAAAATGAGTTGAAAAAGCTGATTTTGAAATAGATGAATTTCCAGGGAATCATGGTGAGGATTCTGAAAGATTATATACTATATGATTCCATGTATATTTAGAAATGGAGAATAGTAGTTGTCAGAGATTAGAGATGGAGTAATAGGAAGGCTGGGATGGGTATTAAAGGGCAGTGAGGAAGATTCTTGTATTAGACAAAAGACTAGGACATCCTATAAAGATAACTGTCCTGGACTTTGCAAAAAAAGTAGATGTCATGAAAGACCAAACAAAAAACCAACAAGCAAAAGACATAACTGGTGGGATTGGCCTTACCAAGAGAGCAAAACAAATTTGGTGGTGGTCCAGTGGTTAGGACCCCAGTGGCTTTCACTGCCTTGGAACTGGGTTCAATCCCAGTTGGGACTGCCTAACCTGTAAGCTGCTTGACATGACAGAAAAGAACTAAGTGCAATGAATGAGTCTTGAATAGACCAGAGATTAAAGAGAAAAAAAAGCTATAAAAGACATTTAGGAACAATGATAAAATTTGAGTATGCATTTCACATTGGGTCAGGTTACTATATCAATCTTGTGTTTGTTGTATGTGATAGTTGGATGGTGGGGTAATGGAAGTTGAGATAGATACACGTCAAGAATCCCCCCTTCAGCTGGACTGAAGGAAGTATTCCCTTAGCTTGGGAGAATTCAGGCAGCACACAGCCCTCAGCTGTCAAACCTCACTGGAACTGCCTCAGCTGGAGACCACCTTGCCCACGGTCATGGCCCCACTCCTGGGCAGCCCACACCCATGGCCTGATCACCGTGGGAGTAAGGCCATGCCCCCTTGAGCTCAGGACAGTTTTAAAGCTCTCTGCGGGGTTTGCTGAGGTCCTTCCTGAGGATGGGCTGCAGCTCGGCATCCCCCTCCCCAGCTGGACTCCTTCCCTTCATCCAGGCAGTGAGCTCAACAGCACCCCTACGCTAGTCTCCATCTCAAACCCTGCTTCTGAGATCTGTCTCAGAACACACCTCGGGGGTGGGGCGGGCCTGACTTGGGACTGTGCTCACAGGAAGGGTTTGAGGGAGCAGATACAAGGACAGGACTTGGGAGCTGGCTCAGCCCTCTGCCACCACAAAGACTGCCTTGGGAGTGGGAGATGGAACACAAAGAGCCCCAGGCCTGAGGCGGATCCCGGACGTGCAGGTTGGTACAACCCCCACGCGGGTTCCCTGGCTTCTGTGTAAGAACTATGGCAGTGGGAAGGCAGAGGACAAATTTTTCAGACTGGTAAAACTGACGTAACAGGGCTTCCCTGATAGCTCAGCTGGTAAAGAATCTGCCTGCAGTGCAGGAGACTCCAATTTGATTCCTGGGTTGAGAAGATCCACTGGAGAAGGGAAAGGCTACCCACTCCAGTATTCTGGCCTGGAGAATTCCATGGACTGTATAGTCTGTGGGGTTGCAAGGAGTCGGACATGACTGAGCGACTTTCACTTTCACTTCCACTGGGGGTCGGGGGAGGCAGAAGTCCGTGGTACACTTAAAGAAGTTGGTGTGTGTGCACACTCAGTTGTCAGTAGCTCAGTTGCATCCAACTGCCATCCCTTGGACAGTAGCCTGCCAGGCTCCTCCGCCCGTTGCATTTCCTAGGCAAGAATACAGAAGTGGGTTGCCATTTCCTTCTCCAGGAAGGAAATTCAATCCCAACCCAGGGATTGAATCTGTGTCCCTTGCGTCTTCTGTATCGGCAGGTGGGTTCTTTATCACTGAGCCCTGGGAAGCCGAGGGGTTGGGGGAGGGGCAAAATAGGGGAAAGGGATTCAGGGGGACAAACTGCCAACTATGAAGTGAAACACAAAGATGTAATACAAAGCACAGAGAATGCAGTCAATATTTTACAATAACTGATGCCCAACGTGATGGTGTTGTAAGGTGGGGACTTTGGGAAGGTCAGGAGAGTGAAGCCCTCATTAATGAGATTAATGCTGTAATAAAAGAGATCTAACAGAGCTCCCCAGCTCCTCCTACCTTGTGAGGATACAAGCTGAGAATTCTGTGCCCCAGGAGAGGGCCCTCACCTGACCATGCTGCACCCTGATCTCAGACTTCCACCCTCCAGAACTGTGAGAAATAAATGTTTGTTGATAAGTGACCCAGTCTTAATTACGGCAGCCAGAAGGGGCGAATGCTGTACAGACTATCTTACTGCACCTGCCCACTCCCCTGAAGGCTTCCATTTCCCTGGAATTGTCCCATATCACATGCTCTCCTCAGGTAATCATTTGCTAAAATGGGAATATAAAGGTCCAGTCCCTTTGTTCCAACTCAGGACAGAGGCAAAGGGTCAATCCCAAGTTAGACTTCCTTATGATACCGCCCGAGGTCCTTCTGAAAAGTGCATTGGAAACCCCTTTCCTTGAACACGGGTACACCCTAGGAGCACTCCATAAGCCTGCAGGTCAATCTCCACCCCAGAACTGGAGAACTGAATCCATGACACGGTTATAGAGCGGAGTGTCCGTCTCTGGGGAGATACATGCTGGAGTATTTCCGGGTTAAATGTCAAGATGTTTGCAATTTATTTTCAAACTATTCTGGAAAAAAAAAAAAAGAGCTCTATATGTGTGCATGTATGGATATATATAGTAAATGTGGCAAAATATTTACAATTGGTGAATCTAGGTGATGTGTGTACCTGTGTTTGTACTTCTGTTTCAGTGTTTCTGTAGGTTTGAAAATCTCCAAAATAAAAGATTAAGGGGTTAAAACACACAGAGAGGCGATATAAGAGATGTAAAAGGAATTTCCAGAAGTATTAAAGGAACAGAAGAGAGTAGGGTGTCATGAGATCCAAGAGTTTCAAAATTAAGATAGTGTTCAACATTATCAAATGGCTACAAAATGGTCAAGCAAGGATAGGACTGAAAAGTGTCCCAGAGATTTAGCATCCAGAAGGTCCTTGATAATCTTGGGGACAGAACTGTCAGTGGAGAAAAATAAAGGCACCCTGCCGCCTACTATATTGCTCATTGTCTGCAGGTTGTCATTTAGCTGCAGTATCATATTTTCCATTCTGTTGGTTTTCTGGGACTTCAAAAAAATTGAATATTATGTTCAAAGTTCTGGAATGGTCCCTATAAGGAGAAGGTCATGGAGCAACTCATAATTTATTGGAGAGGCACATGAACTCAAATACTAAATGTACTGTGGTAGGTGCAAGAACAGAGGAACACAGCCTAGAGAGGAGGGGAGGGGAGGAAGAACACTCAGAAGCTTTTACAAGAAAAACGCAAAAATGGGTAAAGACTGAGTAGGTGAGTCAGTACAGCCTGGCTTCCCATAGGCTGAATCTAGCTTAAATGTGGGATTAGTCTGGCTTGCGAATGTATTCCCAGGACTCCGGTGGTGGCATGTACAGTGAATAATAATTTGCCTGCCAACGCAGGGGACAGGGGTTTGATCCCTGGTTCGGGAAGATTCCAGATGCCAAAAAGCAACTGAGCCCATGAGCCCCAAGTACTGCGCCCACTCTCTAGAGCCCTAGAGTCACAACTCCTGAAGCCCGGGCACCTAGAGCCTGTGC